TTGAAATTTCCTCTAGTTCTATCAGTGGACACCACCAAAAAGAGGCCGCCCCCTCCTCCTCCCTCCCTCCCTTGAGGTATTTATACACACTGATCAGATACCCGCTCAGCCGTCTCTTCTCGTGGGTAACTTGGTGTCAACCAGGACTCCCAGGTCCCTGTCTGCAGAGCTGCTCTCCAGCAGGTCAACTCCTGTTCTGTCCTGGTGCCTGGGGTTATTCCTCCCCAGGTGCAGGACCCTGCGCTTGTCCTTGTTGAACCTCATGAGGTTCCTCTCTGCCCAACTCTCCAGCCTGTCCAGGACCCTCTGGATGGCAGAACAGCCCTCTGGAGTGTCAGCCACTGCACCCAGCTTGGTATCATCCGTAAACTTGCTCAGGGTGCCCTCTGTGCCCTTGTCCAAGTCACTGATGCACAAGTTAAACAACACTGGGCCCAGTACTGACCCTTGGGAAACACCACTGGCCATGAGCCTCCAGCTAGACTCAGCCTCATTTATCACAACCCTCTGAGCTCTGCCATCCAGCCAGTTCTCAATTCACCTCACTGGCCACTCATCCTGTCTACACTTCTGGAGCTTTCCTATGAGGATATTATGGGAGACAGTGTTGAAAGCCTTGCTAAAGTCAAGGTAAACAACATCCACAGCTCTCCCATCATCCATCCACCCTGTCGTCCCATTGCAGAAGGTTGTATCAGGTTCATCAAACATGACTTCCCCTCGGTCAATCTATGCTGACTACTCCTGAGCACCTTCTTTTCCTTCATATGCCTACAGATGCTGCTTCAGCACCTTTCTAAGGACAGAGGTGAGGCTGACCGGCCTTAGTTGCCCGGCTCCTTCCTCTTGCCCTTTTTGCAGCCTGGAGTGACATTGGCTTTCTTCCAGTCCTTCGGCACCTCACCCGCTCTCCAGGACCTCTCGAAGATGATGGAGAGTGGCTGATCAATAATCCCTGCCAGTTCCCTCAGCGCTCTTGGGTGCATCCTATCTGAGCCCGTAGTTTCATGGGTGTCCAGTTTGCCTAAATAATCCCTAACCCAATTCACCTTGACCAGTGGAAGGTCTTCCTCTCTCCAGTTTATCTCTCTTTAACCTGAGCTCTGTAGTTCTTGGGAACTAGCCTTAGCAGTAAAGACAGAAGCAAAGAAGGCATTTAGTAACTCTGCCTTCTCTACATCTTCCATCACCAAGGCACTCTCCCCATTCAGCTAACATTTTCTATAGTCTTCCTCTTGCTGCTGATATATTTATAGAAGCCCTTCCTGTTGTCTCTGACATCCCTTGCTAGCTTTAATTCCAGATGGGCCTTGGCCTTCCTCGTTGCATCCCTGCATTCTCTGACAATGTGCCTATGTTCTTCCCATGTGGCCTGGCCCTTCTTCCACATGATGTATGCTCTCTTTTTCTCATTAATTTTCTCAACAGCTTCAACATCCATCAAGGAAGATATGCCGTCAATTCTACAGAGAGGTTTCTGTGTTGTGGGACAACTTCTGGCAATGTCAAACCAGATTGTGACTCCTTTGTTCCCACTTAGTTCTCGCAGTTAATGCCTTGCTTCTTTTATACTTTTTCTTTTTTCGGATGGACTTTGTTTCAGAAATCTTTTGCTGCAAGAAATACAGAGACACTGTCGGAATGTGTAGGAATGGTGTTATGAAAAAGTTATTGTCCAGGCAGTGGATCTTACCATTATTCATGTGTGGAAATAAGGTACTACTGTGATTGTTAGGCAAGTGTTGCAGTGTATTAATTATTTTTTTCCCAATTACTCTTAAATCCTTTCTGATTGAAAATCAAAGGGAAGTCTATTGAGGAGCTTACAGGTCAGAAATAGCAGAGACTGATAATGGTCATAATATTGTCAGGTATTGGCATAATATTGGCAGGTCCCCCTGATCAAGGAAGCAAGTAGATAAAGCCCTCTTAGAGAGAAGGAAGAAGCCTCATGGCTGCAGGCTTTGATTTTCATGAATCACCTCAGCATCTGTTGGAAGGACAATATGGAAAGCACAAACAACCCAGGATATTTAGAGATTGTGCTGAGGATAGGTTTTTTGACACTGTTGCTTGAGTTAGCTGGTGAAGTATCCTGCCAAAAGCGCTACTCAGTTAAGGAAGAACTGGTTAAGGATGTGAAGACTGACTACAGACTCGGCAGCAGTGCATGGAAATTGGTGAAGCTGAAGATCCCAAGGAAAGTGAGGAAGGCGAGATGGCAGAATAAAGGCTACAGACTTCAGAAGAATAGAGTCAGCTTGTTTAGGGATCTTGAAAGATTCACTTGAAAGGTAGCTCCGAAAGACAAAAAGAGGACACAGGATTGCTGGTAGATTTTCAAGGACAGCCTGCAAGTACAAGATCAATCCATTCTGAAAGTAAAAGAAAGGTCCATTCCAATGTGCAAGAAAAGGGAGTCATAGAAGGAGACTGACTTGGCTGCATAGGCAACTTTCGACTGAACTCAAACACAAGAGGGAGTGTGCAGGAGATGAAAGAGGCAGTGGGTTACTGAGGGAGAATATAAGGATGTCACCTGAGCATATAGGGGGAGAATTAGGAAAGTTGCAACTTAATTGGAGTTAAAACTTACTGTAGGGTGCAAAATGCAAGAACAACAGCAGCTACAGGTGCATATGCAGCAAAAGGAACACCAGAGAAAATGTGGGCAACCGCTGAATGGGGAGGTGACCTAGTGATAAATGACACAGGAAAAGACAGGTGCTCAATATTTTCTTTGACATGGCAGAGTATGGGGAGAGAGTACCAAAAATGAAATACTAATGACAAAATAATTAACCTGGATATAACCTAGTTCAAGTGATTGGGGATGGTAGATCTGAGGGTGCTGAGGGAAAAGGCCAGTATACTGAAAGATTACTCTCCAGCATTTTTGACAAATTGTGGTGATGAAGGAATGTTTCCCACAGCTGAGAAACAAGATTTTTGCTCAAATCAAAATTCAAAGACCTTAATTCAGAACTCAATGGCACAAAGGTGTACTGAACACACTGCAGGGATCAGAAGGCTCGCTTAACTCCTCTGATAGTGCTAAACACAAAGAGCCCTCAGATTCCACAGACTGCTGCTGCATATGGACTTCTAGGGCTGGCAGTCTCTCACCATTGCTCCACAACTGAGAGGGTTGTGCAGAAAACATTTGTAAATAATAACAGGGGTCTCTGTCTATCACATGATTTCAAAATCTTGGCTGCTGGGAGAAAACACAAGAAACAGAATATCATGTAAAAGTCATAAGGCTGATACACAAAAAGTAATTGAAAAAGAAGTTGCTGTGATGGCCCTTGAGGCACCTTGTTGGGTCATGAGAGGCTGATATGAAGCGAGGTCAACTCCAACCCTGAAAATGCAGTGGTACAGCCACCTTTGCCACTCTGGTTCAAGATGGAAATAAGAGCAAATTGGGCTGTATCACAAAAACAGTGGAGCTTTGGGAAACTGGAGAGTAAAGGGACAAAAGAAGCCAGTCACATGTATACAAACTACATAGTCCATACACTAGTTTGGCCCTGCCCTGCACCTGATCACTACATTCTTATCTCATTAAAATCTATTTCTAATTGTTTTCGGGCGGGGGGAGGTTGGAGTGGCAGTTTAGGCAGATGATATTTATTGAAGCAAGCAGAAGAGTGGACACCAGAGCCAGAAAATTAAATTGCTGGAGAAAAGATAGTATCTGCAGAAGTACACAACCTGCAGCAAGATTCAGAAGCAAGTGAAAGCATTTCAATGCACACTTCTGAAAAAAAAAAAAAAAAAAAAGTATGTACAGCAACAGTCTTACTCCTACCTGCCTCTTACACAGCACACTAAGGCCTGGGAAGGTATGCAGCTGTACAGACTACTCCCTGGAAGACTGTTGCATCAGTTACAATCTGGGATCAGTTTTGTATTAGAAAGTGGACTTCCTACTCAAAGGTGCCTATCTTTTTTTTAATAGGAACAACTCATCCTACTTGGTCAACTATGGCAGGTCAGACTCCTACCATAACCCTGCACTACTCTCACAGGTTAAATCTTTCATCCATGATAAAAAATATTCATAATATCTCTTGAGCTCATTGCCTGTGCACAGACTCTTCCAAAGCTTTTGTTATAGCAGCCCCATCACATAGCCAGGATGCTTCTGAAAGGTTTTACCTCAGTAGGTAGACAAAATTTATACTGCAGTGTTTGTGTAAGTCTCTCTCCCAGCATAAAAAGATGTTTTGACCCTGGTTATATGAGACCTGAAACTTAGAGAGAGTAAAAGGGAGAGTGAGAAGCACCAAGAGGGTGCTACCAGAGGGTGGAACACAGTCCAGGGCTTTTAAAAATACATTTTTAAACCAATTACATTGTGTAGGAAATTATCTTTGTTCAGATAAAACAATGCAAAGAGAGGATATTCTCTGTGTGCCTCAGGTTGAGGCAGACATCTCTTCTTGAGGAGACCAAGGAAGGAGTAGCTCTGAAGACATTTTTCATTCCTACATCTTTTATTTTTTTTTTTTGCAAAACTCAACTTCTTTTCTTCCAGCCCTTGCCAGATTTAAACAGAGAGGACAAAACCAGGGCATGGAACCTGATTTAACGACCCCCATGCATCCTTCCCAATGGAATCAATGGCATATAAAGGAAGGTATTTACTCTGTTCAGGCACGGTGCAGTCCCTTCATGTGCCGCCCTTCACTGGGCCTTCCAGTGTTAAACCAGTATGAGTTCATCACTATGAGATGATATGGACCTCTCTGAGACAGCTCAGGAAAAGTCCTCCCAACAAGGATTATTTCCAATTCAGTGCTTACAGTGCTTACAGAAAGACAGGTGTGGTGGTGGGCGCTGATGAGTGCTGGATGCATGGCAGTTACCATTTCCGCTCGTATCTTCCCACCTAGCAAAGCGGACATGCAGGCTCCAGACCTTCTCCCACTCCTCCCAGCATACTCCTGTGTTATTTCCAGCTCTCAGTTTTACTCAGCACGAGGGTCCCTCCATCAGACAGTTAATGCTGCAGCCTCACAAATTCGAAAAGAAGGGACATCACATGGTATATCGTTCCAATTCCAGTGTTTTTCTTCCTTCCAATGGATTACAACACACTTCTCGTTCTTCACATTACTTGGTTCTCCAGGCCTCCAGAACCTGAGACAAACACAGACTTGTTACTCTCTATTGTATCTCTATTGTACTCTGTACAATATTTCAGGGAAAGGCCACAACAGGAAAGGCCACATACAGTACTTGAAGAAAGAAAAAAACTACAAATAGTGATTCACTGGCAGAAGCAGCATCCTTCCTCCCACTGTGATAATCCCACTGGCATTAGGCTCCCTGTGGAAATCTGTCTTCTTTCTACAGCCTACATGTTCATTCCTGGTGCTGGGAATCACTCACCACAGCGCACCCCGAGCACCTCACAGCCCACAGAGGGTTGTGCCTTCCTCCGGGAGAGTGAAGAAGAAATTCCAGAAGAACAAGTAGCAGTCACAGCCCCACAGATCCCTCCTGGCACCCCATCCCCTCCATAGCATCAGGCCTGCCCATGCACATGCACGCATACATGCTGGGGGGAGGTCAGGCAAGGCTGCTCCGCTCTGAAAGGTCTTTCCACTGGGGAGAGGTAGTTTCTTCTATGGCTACAGCACCGACAGCCAAGTCATAACCAACAACCACAAATCAGCAAGGGATACACTTGCCTGATCCTGGTGCCCTATCCAGCCCTCCCCTGCCTTGTCTTCTCACAGGGAGTTGTCTTACTTCCCTCTCGGACACCAGCAAGCACCCTCTTCTCTCTTCGCCTCTTGCACTGCCAGGGGCTACACTAAATAGTCTCCGTTCTGAGATACTCACGCAGCTGTCACATTAAAGGGAGTCTGGTCCACCCAGTGCCACTGGCCCACCTCCTGTGCACTCAGACCAATGAAGTAATTGTTTTTTTTTCCATATTTAATATTTTCTTTTATCCATGTAGAGAGAAAAACCTGGAAATCAGGCAGAATGCAATGTTCATGAGATGCAGGGCGGAGCAGAGCAGGGAGACAGAAGCCTCCATGGAGTAGGGCTGGCAGCAGAGGGGAGTAAGTTTTGAATGGACCCAGAGAAGACAATCCCCACTCTACTGCAAGGGCAGGAAGGGGCTCTGGAGTTCCCTTGAGGCCCAGCACTTGCATCCCAAGGCTACCATGTCGCCTCTCTCAGCCCTACAATTACCTGCTCTGCTTCTGTCTTGATCACCACCAGGTGGGAGCCCATCCCAGTGCAATTGTCCTTGCTGTCATTCCAGGACATATAATCTGTTGATAGGTAGTAGCAGTTTTTTTGAAAGAATTTCCATTCCTTTGGGCAGCACATCCAGCCATGCTCTGTATAAGGAGATATCAGAGAGTATCAATGCTAAGAATAAGAGATGGTGGTCAGAGCAAGGATCCCTACGGAGAATAATCATGGAGAATGATAAATTGTTTTTTGCAGGTCTTTTTTGTCTGTTTGTTTTTCCTCATCCAAAGTGCTTGACTGAATAAGGATAATTCACATTTCCTCAAATTGTTGTCAAGTATGATCTGTGAGCTGTGCACAGACAAACCCATAGCAAGTCTGGTAACATTCTCAGGTCTTGCCCTGACAGAGCACATTATTCAGTTGATGTAGTTTAACTGCTTCTATTTGTGTAACCATCTTGAAGTTTTTAGTCACAAGGAGTAGGATATATTGCTTCTTCTCCTAACTTGAATTGCATTGTTATTCTTGCTCCGTTTGTAAAGTTCCTTCTATCACTGTATTCTATCCCTTTTATTCTGTCAGTGTTCACACCCACCTTGCCCTCCTACAACACCACTACCATCACTTTATCCTTCCTTCAATCATGTAAGCACTTCCTTATTCTCCTCTCATGTTTCCTCAGGAGTCTCCCTCCCTTGCATCTGCTTGCTGTCAGAGGAGATCCCAACATTCATGGTCTAAGTTCCAAAGATCTCCTGCAACCTATTCAGTACTACTGACCTTTTCTCTGTGGTATTGCTGAGACACAGAGCCACTCTGTAGCATTCTGTTGCAAGGCATTCATCTCTCCACGGCTATGGGAGAAGCGAGTGACTGGAAAAAAAAGAAGAAAAAAGGCAAGATTTCCCCTTTTTCGCTTCTCTTATATCATCATTGCCTTCAATGTTTTGTATCCATTTCCCCACTAAGAGGTCTCCACATCATCGCTGCTCTGGCTGTCTGTTAATTTCACAAGCAGTAATTGCAATCAGTCTAAGGGAAGGAAACAGACATTTCTGCTCCCCCAGAATCTTATATATACCTGCAAGGACTCTTTCACCAACTGGCTCACAAGATCCAGGCAGGATGACCTAGTCAACAAAGCTAGAGAATTATGTCCTACATGAGCATTCCCAGGTGGCTGTAGCCAGGACATGGCCTGTTAACAGTCTGTCACTCCTGTGCTGAAAAGACCTCAGAATAAACAGTGGAAGATTTGGGGGATGTCTGTTGCAGTCAAATACGACAAAGTCAGATCAGAGACGCCCGAGACCTTACAGAAAATCCAAGCAACACTGGATTTCTAAAGATGGCCCTGCTTTGGGCAGGTGTTAGGTTAAAGACTTCTGGAAGTCTCTTCCCATCTAACTCTTTCTATCATTCTAAGAAAGAAGGCGTGTACAACAGAACCATCTGGCATCACACTGCATTATTCCTTGCTCCTAAAGCTGTGCCTCAGAGCTGATAAAGACCCTTGTTTTTTTGGCCTGAAGGAGGAAGCTTTTGCCAGCTTGCAACTGTAGCCTAAACTACCCAATGTTTAGGGTATCAGGAAATATTTTGCTCCTAAAACATACCCTTCAGATATCTCTCCAAGCACAACTGTTGGGATTTGCATCCTTTCTCATAAGATTTCTCTGCTTTTTTTTTTTCCCATCATTGCCCACAAACCTGTCTCCCTAGTTTTGGGTAATCAGCATGCTGATAACTCACCTAGGAGAGTGATGATGAGCGCGATGCACACCAGCAGGAGCAGCAGTGAGATTAGCCATGGGAGCCATGGTGGGTATTTTGGGGTATGATCCTCATGTTTCTTCTTCTCTGGAGGTGCTAAAGTAAAGGCGCCCACCAAACACAACAACACAGTCAACTCTGCTTCAGTCAACCCACATACCAAGGACTTACAATTTAAGAGAGAGTTGCCCGAAGAAATACAATTTCAGACTCGATGTGGAAGTTACTTTATTTGGTAGAAGGGCAGATTACGTCTGTCTGGTCTCTCAAGAAAATTAGGTTCAGAAGCAACATCCACAGCCCTCGCCCTTTGGTGAACCAGAAATGCCAAATGCTGCTGCTTGGGCTGGAGTTCTTCACATGACACTAAAGACTGGAAGGAAGCTATGTCTCTCTGAGTCAAGGGCTACCAAACACCATATTACTCTTACTGTATTACCTGAGACATTTTAACGAGATTTCATGTTGACTTCTCCCCAGAGCATGTTATGTATCTGGCATATATATATATGTATAGTTATTTCTTATCTTTTTGAATATTCTGAGTACAGAGGGATAGATGAAAGGTGATTAGGGGCAGCGTCAAAAAAACATGAAAAGGTATGACAGTCCGAAATCACTAGAAGATAAGAAATATACTTTCTGCAACAAGACCTTCTCACCTCTGTTTTCCAAGATTTGCCATAGTAAAACTAAAACTGTGTTAGGCTGGATGCTAGACATGTGAGGAGAACAGAGGTGTACCCAGCAGATTACCCAAAGAACCACCCTCAGACTGAGTCTTGCAAAAGCCTGAATTTTGTCCAGAAACACACTGCTTATATCAGTGAAGTTGCAGAGCAAGGAGGAGAATGGATCACAGGGAAAGAGAAGCAGACACTTAGTAGTAGACTGTTTTAGACAGCATTAAAGACACAAACTGGCACAAACCAGAGGTGGAAAGAGACAAGAACAGCACTGTCTGCAGTACAAAGCAATTTTGAGAGGACCGATATTTATGCTGAGCTTGAACAGGCTTCTTTTATCGTTCAGCTTGAAGCTCCCACATCAGCTAGGAGCCATAAGTGCTTGCTGGTCACGCCTGACAAGTTGCAAGACTTCTAGAAATATATGATTTAAGAGGAATTCCATGACTACTTCTCAAAGTGGTGATGTCTGCATGTGTATCCTGGTCAAATCATGTTTTTTTTCCAGCAAGAACTTTGGTCTATAGTGAAAACAAGGACTTGGAACTTTCTACAGAATCCAACCACTTGCTTCAGATCATAACTCTGACCAAGCCACCTAGGTTTTTGATGTCCTAGATGTCCACAGATAGACTGCTCAGCCTCTGCCCAGTCATACCTCCACATCCTGGACTCACCAAACTAAGACGGCACAGGGATCACAGGCAGCATGCATGCACTTCACCAACATAACCAATATGAAATAAATCTTGGCATTCCCACAGACCAATTTTCCCACAGAATGCTTCCCACATTCAGTCTCCATGCTTTTGACAAGTCTGGCATGATCAGAACATATCAGACTTGATGAGCACATGCTAGTTATTCAGCCTGTAAATCCCTCAACTCCTCAGTGCACAGGATCCAGCAGTAGGTGCCATGCAGCACAGATACTTATATATTTTAATCAGGGAAATCCTGGTTAGAAATTCAGGGACCCTAACTGCTCTCTTGCATGCTTCAGCAGGGCCTGCCCTCTCCTGCCATAGCCAGGTTGGTTGACAACAAACGTGCTGCCTTCTCCTTTCTCTCTTCCAAAGACTGCCACTTTTGGAGTCTTTAGGATGTAATAGGAAGACAGTAAAAATAGGCAACTCCAGGTGAGCTTGGCCATTATCAACATGGAGTCGGGAGGGTGAGAGTAACCACTCTGAAGGGCAACAGAGCAGGAAGACTCCCTTAATCTTTCAATCATTTATTCTGTCCTACAAGCATTCAATAAGGCTGTGAGCAATGTGCAATGGTGCTCCTAAATACTTTGTTGTCTTCAACTTACAAGCTTCAACCACTCAACCACTATGGGATCACTTGAACAGGCCCACCCAAAATCAGGACCTGAGCACACACCCAAACCCATAGAGGAGCCTGTCATCAACAACCCAGCTGTATCAGGTATTTTTGGAATAGATCATGGGGAACATTGAACTATCATCACCACCAGTTCATCGTGATGGAAATGCAAGCTGTAACTGTGCACCAGCTGATCTCAGCTCATCAGAACATCACCGGCACCTAGTCATGGGTACATGCATGCTTTATTTCCATGACTCACACTTCAGAGCAGACAAGGAAGAAACACAAAGCTGATGCCTGCTCTATGTGGGAACAATGAAACCCAAGGTAAAGATCTAATTTAGTAAGTCTTTTGCAGCAATAAAGATATATAAAGGTATGCATCTAAACACTTAAAATTCTCTGGGCCCTGCACAACAGCAGGGTGGAAGCAGCAAGCTACACATGGGGATCAAACATCCTTATGTATTCCTATTTGTGGGATAATGACTACAGCATGTACACGGATCAAAACAAGCCTTAAAACTGCATAAAGCTTAGAAAAAAAGCACCACTTTGTAAACATGATTTTAACAGAAATAACACATTGTTGGCATATTCATTATTTTTCAGGAGAGTAGGCATCAATCACAGAATCAGATCTCTCTCCAAGTCTCAGATAATTCCTCTGATGTATATATCAGATGTTTTGTTCAAGCCCTTTCTTCTTTTTGACTTTTGTGTCTGTATTCTGCAAGAGTGATTTCACAACCAAACAAAAGACCACAGAACTGTTTCCACATCTACTGTCATCTCTCAATAGGGTGCAGATGTCTGCTCTAATATAAAGAGACATATTGGTTTCCCACTCCCAAATTCTCCAGAGGCAGGAATCTGTAGCCTCACTCTCTGAGACCAAAGGCAGATTTTGTGCTTATTTCCTGCCACTTGCCACCCTAGGAGTCCCTTTGCCTTTGTGACAGCACAAATCACTTATAAATCATAGTCGCCATTGTTTGTATTTGATATTTCTCAAAAAAAAAAAATCACTCTAATTCAAGATAAGGCTAAAAAATCTTGCAAAACAGCAGCTACTACCTGTATCACAGCAGTGCCAAGCATTACTACTCTACAGCACACATCCTGCGCCCTCTAACCTCTACCATTCACCAGTACTGGTAAGGCAACGAGGGGGACTAGAGGAGGCAAAATACTTTCCTTCCTGAGTCTTTATCTGACTTGCTGCTTGTCTTCCCACTAGTCACCCTCATTCATGTCTCAGCTCCCTACTACTAAAAGATTCCCATTCCTCCTCCTGCAAATGTTCTTTAATCCTCCCACTTGAAAAGTCCTCTAGTCTGCTTAAGTAGTGACAGACAATTCATCTGCCTCATCATTTTTGTCAAAATGGGCAGAAATACTGTCCAAGAATCAAAAGCATCTATCCCCCATTCCTCAACCCCCCGTTCCCTCCTGGGTCTCTTTTCCCTTAACAACCATGTATTCCTTACCTTTGACGTCTGCAGACGGTGATGCATTCTTGAACCTCACCTCAGCGTAGGTGATTTCTGATGCCATTCAATCACAACGTTACTGGTCCTTGTTCTTGGATTTATTACATAAAAGCTTGGACTTCCAGGTCCCTGGTTTCAGAGGAAGACACCAGCAAGTCACGAAGCCTTTTCCAACTGCTCTTTCATTCTTTGCCTGTGAAGAAAGGTGAATGAATGTTAGAAGTACTACAGATAATCTAAGAATTGCTGGGAGCTCAGAAACACTCTGAACAGATCTTGATTTCTTAGCCGAAGAAATCAGCCCCAGGGCTGGAAGTTCCTGTGAGGGAAACGAAAAACAAGAACCCAGCAGCTGAAAAGGAAGTTGCACTCCTCCTTCCCCAAAACACATACTCAGTTTCTAGCTTGTAGTTTTCCCTTTTGACATCTTGTCTCTCCCTTAGTTTTTTTGTTTGTTTTGTTTTTTTTTAAACCTCACTCCACTTATTTTTGTATTTCTTTCATTGTTACCATTGATTTTAAGTTTCTGGGAAATGAATCCCTGTTAGTAGACAGCATCAATAGAAATTTCAGACAAGTAACCTTCCTTGTGGAGGTGACGCTGGGAAGTTCTAGCCTTAGGCAGAGGAAAAAATGAAAATCATATTTGACATACCCAGTGAGAAATAGAGAAGAAAAATAAAATATGGCTTGAGGGATTATTGGGAAAAGTTTTGCACACACAAGATCTCTATCACAGCCTGATTTACATGTTGCTTTCAGTGAGCTGGGCTCCACTTTTAAGTTTGAAAATCTGAAGAAAGAAGTTTGCTTGCTTAGTTGGTTTGCTTGCTTAGCTGGTTTGCCTGACAGGAAGATCTTCAAAGCAGGCCAGGTTGACATGAAAGCTGGATATCCAGGGAGCTGGCATGAAAAGCACACAGGACAAGGCCGAAGGTAAAACAGGACTGTGGAAGGAAGAACATGCATCAGAGAAAAGAGGAGCACAGTGTGGCAGATGGTAAAGAGCAAAGGAGGGATGTAGTAGGCATTTGTGCACAGATTATTGAGCAGAGCTGCCCCTAAACAGAAAAGGGCATATACAGCTGTATGGCTTTAGCAAGGAACACTCACTCCATCAGCTACTATAAAAGCAGCATATCTCTTGTATTGAGATTGACTTTTTAAAAAGCTTTTCTCAATCTGCATACAAAGAGAGTGATTTAGTCCCGTATGCAACAAGAGCGGCTGCAGGACAGGAGCCCAGTCTCTTGGAGGGTTGTATGAAGCCTCTTTTGCTTTTCAACACCCTTGTTCCTCATCCGTTTGTCTTCTGGCTTGTTGGGACCTAGGCATACCTATACATACCTATGTCCATCAGGCAGGATCTAAGTGTTATCTTTGTGATTGCTGAAGCCTAGTTATGCTCTGCAATTTCATGCTGAAATTTCAGCAAGAGTGATGATCCTCTGCCTGGCCCATAGCCAAGTCATAGCAGACTCAGCCTTACAGAAGACAGATTTACTTCCTGGAAGGATTTTAGATTGATTGGCATATAAAAAGAGGAACCACAAACCACAGATAGAGAAAGAATTAACTATGTAGCCTTAGCCTCATTTTTTTTCCTTCTGAAATACATCTGCAAACACTGTTGATGCATCTTGTATGCAAATCCAGCTGCTGATTTTATTAAGATATAGTATATCTCTCCCAGACATCAGGAGATGGCTCAGTTTTTCTCCCTCAGCCATCAGCAGAGTTGCCGCCTGCTGTCAAGGCTGAACTCTGAACTCCACCTCCACAGAACACAGTACAAGGCACCGTGCAATAACACTGAGATAATATTCCTGATGTTAAAATTAATGCCTTTGAATTTCATCGGCACTGCTGACAAGTAATGGGGTGGGAACTGAAACAGAAGCGAGCCCAGAAAGTGGTCATGGGAATGGAAAAAAAAAACAAAACAAAATGAACAAAAAGCTAAATCTGCTCCCCTCGGAGCACAGACGCCTAACCACTATCCTACTTTGCTAAAAAACAAGCCTTGCAAGCTCTGTATCCTGGCACTTGCACTGTGGTTCCTCCATTTCCCCCTCCATGTTTATTCTGCCCACCCAGTGCAGCAAATCCAGGGCCTCCCACGACACTTGTGTTCCCTCACGTATGTCTTTCTACTCAGCTTCACTCGGATACTTCCAGATACCTCCCACACTTACAACTCCCATTTACCTCTCAGCTTCTTAGGATTCTCCAGCTTGCTCAGCACAGTATTTCTGAATCCTCTCCTTACTGAGGTTGAGGCTGCTGCCTTTTCGTGGTCATTCTGGAGCTATGTAAGCACCAGCTGCCTGAGCAGAAAGCAGTGGACACACTAACTTTCTTTATCCCCTGACTAACCTCAGCTTTTTTCTCCCTGTGAAGTTTTAGGAAGGTAGTAGCTGCAGATATTTTGCCTCATAGCCAGTTTCACTATATTTTGCAAACAGGTCCACATAGCAGCAGAGAAGTACCTTAATTGATTTGAAAAATGAAGCTGAACTAATTGGGTTTAAATGGAGTTTACCGAGAAAAGAGGTCTTGTGTCCTAGGGCTGTGACCTCATATATCCAAAAAAAGAAAAAAAAAAAAACCCTTTTTAAGGAAGTTGAGCACAGCTGTACAGGAAACTGCAGGGAAATGAGAAATTTGATAGAACTCAGAAATGAGAGGTGCAGCTAAGGTAACACAGCTACTACAGGTGTCATGGAGGTCACACCTGGATGTCAAATTGACAGCCCAAAGCCAATGCCTAGCACCTCTTTAGCAGATCTGAGATCAGGTAAAAGGAGGCTGGTGTGGACAAAAGGTAAAACTAAAGGAATTACCAATATAAACCTTTCAACAAGATGACCTTGCGTTGAAAGGAGGAAGATTGAAAGGCTCATGACCTCCAATGGATGCAAAACCCCCAAACCACAATGCAAAAAAAGAGAGTCTCAGAAACAACTATCTGAAGCTATCAGAACTAGTTTTTAAATCTTCTTCTATGCATACTGAAAGCAGAAGCCTTTTTAAAGATTTTGAGGGCAACTGAACACCAGGGAGTTAAAAAAAAAAAAAAAAAAGAAAAAGAAAGAGCAGTCAGAGAGAAGAGAGTTATTGGAACAGAGCTGGGCAGTGACATTGATCCTTAAGTGCTGCTGAGGGATTCAGCTGGTGAGAAGGGATCCAGCAGCAAGTGCCTACCGTGCTGTGAGGAAATAGCTCCAGGACAGGACACTACAGGGAGGGGCAGGACACTACAGCTCTCTGTCTCTGTGCGTGTCCTCCTCGCACGAGACTGACAACTCTGGCCAGAGCTGTAGGGAGAAGTGACCTCGTCTGGAAGGTCACTTCCAGATGATAGAATAAACTGAGTGCAATAAGGAGGTACTAGGAGATGTAGGAAGGAGTCATGAAAGCTCAGAGACAAGGGAATTAGAGCATCCACTGGTGAAGGGGAAAGCAGGGAAGAACTGACAGGAGGAGAAGAAAAGAGAGGTGTTAGTGAAAAGCCACACTGATCTCTGGCAGGTGGCAGCCATCAGCATTGGCCTCAGCACCAACCCTGTCTCCTTACCAAAACCACCAAGGGTTACCCTCTAGCATTTTGACCAAGTCCAACCATTCTCCTCACCATATAGCTGCAGTTCCAAAAAAGACATAGTGGAAGGAAGGGAGCCCAGAAAATATGAGAAATAAAAATTCCTTACCAGTATGGTTTGTGTACACTGTTGTCCCCTGTGTATACTGTGTACCTGTTGAACAGGTTCAAGCAGAAGGGAGCATGCCCAAAAGCCAGTGTGCTGAGAGATATCAAATTTGGGCACCTTTGCAATGAGAAAAAGATGTATGTTCTGTGATGAGGGGGTCCTAAAATCCCTCAAATACAGGCCGTTTTGGAACAGAAGAACAGTATCCAAAGAACTTTCAAATAGACAAGAACCCCTCAAGAATTCCTAACCCTCTTATTTCCACACACACTGTTAACATGGGACTGCTTTTTTGGAGGAGGGATGATACATTTTGCTCCCCTAATTAACCAGTCATCTAATCAAAGCCAACAGCGAACACAACCATATTCATTATCCCACAGCTGTTCTATGTCATTTATGGAGAACATCACACAGAACCACAGAATGGTTGAGGCTGGAAGGGACCTCCAGAGATCATCTAGTCCAACTCCCCCGCTCCAGCAGGGACACCCAGAGCACGGGCCCCAGGGTTGCATTCAACCAAGTTTTGAAGATCTCCAGAGAAAGAGACTCTACAAACTCCTTGGGAAGCCTGTTTCCCTCACAGGAAAGACATTCTACCTCATATAGAGATGGAACTTCCTGTGTTTCAACTTATACCCATTTCCCCTTGTCCCAACAGTGTCCACCATTGAGAAGAGCTTGGCCCCTTCCTCCCTACATTCCCCCTTCATGTACTTATACATATTGATCAGATCCCCTCCCCCCTCAGTTTTCTCCAGAGAAAACAGGCCCAGCTCACTCAGCCTCTCCTCATATGATAACACCTCCACCTCCTTCCTCTTTTGGGACTGAGCAACAAATTTCAAGGCCAGAAATTGTTGAAGATTCGATACAGATGATACTTCTACTTTTTTGCCGTAGCTACATTACATTTGAATTCAAGACCTGGGCCAAATCTAAGTACTGGGTTGCCAAACTCAATGACCTGTTTCAAAGGCAGCAGTGTGAAGCCTGTGGCCTTAGAGAGAGCACTCGGCATCTGTGTGGAGAAGCTATGGCCACATGGTTCACAAAAGTGCTAATTACACAGAGACAATCCTTCATGTTTCTCCATCTTCCCAAAGATTGTATAAAACTTAAATTTACCTTGATGTACCTCTGACCCCAGGCTTTGTTCCTAGATCTGAAGGAAAAGCTATTTTTTCCTAGACTGCAACAAATGCTGGAATATTTACACACACTTGACAAAGGGGTTTATGAAAGTCAGTATCTACTGGTGCCTTCTCACCTTGCACCAGGCTGCAAGACTTCCAGGGGTACTTTCAAGACCCTGAGTTGTGCAGAACTCTGCTCTCCTCACACAGGAAGACTGAGCAAGTGGGGTTGTACAAGAAATGACTGTGGGTAGACTCAGCCAACCCAAACATCTATGTATGTCACAGCCCTGAGCCCATTCTCCATCCTCTGAAAGTTTGGCTTCCTGCCTTGTTCTGACTCCCCTTGCTCCAAGTCTCAGCTCCCAGCTTACCCTCCCACTCAGAGCAGTCAGGCCTTGCTACCCCCTGACAAAGGGCCCACTCGCTTGACCTTGCTCAGACTACTTCCCATTTACAAGGGTTGCAAGAATCAATTCTGACAAACTTCCTCAAGATGCAGAAACCACCCCTGTCTAATATGCTAAATAGCAGCACAATTCAAAGTTCTCCCACTTGCTAGTTTTGTCCTTGCACCTACAGCCAAGCCTGTTCCCATAGGTAGGGTAGTTTTTGTTTGTTTAAAACATCGGGAAGAGCCTTAGGCTGTTCGTATCTCCTTCTTCCAGGCTTTGCCTAGGCTAGCCTCAATCTCCATTAGTGCTAATGCTGCTCTTGTCCAGGCTGGAGGATATGATGCAGAGGGACAAGGCTATTGGGGGCTTGTTGGAGACTTAACCTTCAGTCTGCAGAGATGCCAAAGCAACAACAATTTGACAACACAGAAGACTCATGACATTCTTTTCCCCAACATTACTTGTTTAATTACCATTTTTGCACCAGTACATGTTATGCTTTTTGCACCAGTACAGTTTATGCTTTATATACATATATTTTTTATTTTTACTTCAACTATTCAAATACATAGTATATTATCTCCAGAATACTAATTAAGACAGAACACAGAATAAGAGGCTCCTGGTTGGTTGCTAATCGGTGCTATGAACTTCCTTGGTTTGGGGAAATGACACGTACTTGAAATGACATGACCCGACAGGGGTGCATGGAAAGCAAGACAGCCAGCAGAGACCATGGCTTAGCCTAAAGAACACAAGGGAGAAGAATGGACTGCTAGCAGGTGACAAACTCAGAGGTTGGGAGCTGATTTACAGCCAGACACGGGAGTGACTGGCACAGGGAGGAATCTGGGGGAACACCAAAAGAAATGAGTATTAAGTGATTGAAGATACATCCAAGAACAGTCTGGTGAACTTCAAGTGAAGCTGCAGCAGCTTTAGAGCTATTTAAAAACAAAAATAACTTAAGTTTGCCAGAGGAATGGTGTGAGCAAAACTTTGTCTCCAAAATGCCCTCAGTGTAGCATGAAGACAGAAAATGATTTGCAGGTATAAGGTATAAACCAGTAACTACCCTCTCTAGCCAGTAACTACTTTATCCTAAGAGCCTCATCATAAAATTTTAGTCTCAGAGGACAAAATTACACTTTGCAAGAGTTCTGCACAGTTTGTTCCAGTTACAGAAATATTACTGCTGGTTGAATGCTCAAAATAAGAAGCCTTCCTGTGAAATACAAAACTCTAGTGTTCCATGAAGGGGGTCAGAGCTACAGGGAGGTTCCTGAGCCCATCCTGGCTACTAGTGTTTTTGCTAATCAGCTAGCATGGAAGGGCTTCTGTTTTCTAGCCTGCTCTGGAGCGTTGGCCATGTGACCAGCAGACTCATACCCCACCTCACATCCATAGCTGCTACAGGTGGGATAGTTAAGGGAGCCTAAGGAATCTCTCACAAATCGAACAAGAGAGACTGAGGCTTTCTGCCTCAGACTTTCTAACTCCCTGAAACACACAGGAAGGCAGATAATCATTACACATTAAAAAAAAATTACAACAATTAGAACACATTTCAAGAAACTTAGCCTCAGAAGGTCTACCACAAGAAGGAAATCAGATGGGAAAACGTAGCTGCCACTGCACTCCAGCTTGGGCCTCCTATACATTTCTTGCCCACATGATGAGTGTAGGGTGTAAGGGACTGTCCGTTCACTAGAAAATATCTCATTTTCCCCACAGTGGTTCTTACAGCTGTAGCAGTGCAAATTCACAATGTGTTCTGCTTGACAAACACAGACAGGCTCAGGACAGTGATGCAGGAACATGAAATGCTGAGGGGAGTCACCTGGTTATCACCTAGTGTACATAACTACATAAGTTATAGAAAGGCTTCTCTCCCTTCTGTTTCATTTGCTTGTTTTAAAACTATTTCAAATTAAAACAGCCCAAAGGCATGAGCACATTTGCACAGCGGGGTGAAGGTGAAGCGATAACGGGACTGTTTCCTCCAGTGACCCTCACGATGGCGTGCCCGTTTGGAGCCACAACGCAGTGGCAGCAGCAGGTCTCCTTAGTGTCCTGCACACTCTTCCCACAAGGGTGCCAAGCGCTACCAAGAACTGCACCAAACAGAGGGAGATTAGTGTGAGCACAGGGAGGTTCACTCCTCAACACACCACGTTTTGTGTTGAGACTTGGAGAGATGGACAAAACCCATCTCCTTGCAGCTTCCATCTGTGAGTCGCAGCCAAACACAGCCGTGCCCTCAGCACTGTAGGCCAAGCTGCACAGACTCTAGTCACTGCTGAAAGCAGCCACAGAAAGCAACAAGCCCTAATCAGGGAATTATTAAAAGAAAATTAACCCTGATGCCCCTACCCAGCCTACTCTTGCACCGACCTTCCTCAGGATTTTTGCTTTCCATGTATAGAAACATGGGGGGGAAAAAAAAAAATATAAGAGCCAGGATGTACCATGTAACTGCCAGGTGGGTAGAAGAGATGAGGCTACCCCTCCTCCTTGCCCACCACATGAGGAGCCAGTGTGTTCTCTTTAGGTTTCAGCGTGGGATTAAATTAGTACATTTTGACTGAAGTGAAGATCTACTTTAAAAAGGAGGAATTGTCCCGACATAGTTTTGATTGTAGACTAAAGAGCTTTGTATCCCCCTCTGATCCCATTTGGTGTTTCTGGAGCCTCTTGGTCATCAGTTTGTTCCATTCCACCACTTTGACCACTCAGAACTGGACCCAGTTGGATTGCTGAGGAGCCGGATTAGGAACAGCACTGAAAAAAGACAGAAAGAAAGGATGATGAAAGAAGCAGATCCAATATCAGATTTCATAGCCCATGGCTCTTCCAGTGCTCCTCTCCAGACTTTGCCCTTATCATGTGCTGTTTCCTCCATCACAGTTTACCTGGATGCAGTGCTGAAGTCTCCCCAGAGGTCTGCAGTAGCTGGTGCCTTCGATGTAGGTACAGGTGTGCCCAAGTCTAACAGAATATCTAAGGCAGGGGAGAAGAAAACAAACAAACAAACATGTCAAGAGTAAGAAAAAAAAAAAAAAAAAGAAAGAAAAACTCTACAGACATTCAAATTGTCCCCCATACACAGCCTTTCCTCTCTGGTGTACCCAGTGGCACAGCATCTTTCAGTAGACTCCAGCTCCCCCTGCAGAAAGGAGGAGGTTAAGAGGCTAAGGACTCAGTCTGCAGTAACAGCTCCTTTCCGTAAAGGTGCACTGAGCCCATAGCATCATCTTCAAGAACTAGTCAGTCCCTACCTATCACATCAGCTAACATATTACCCCTCCTAGCAGACATTAGGCTCAGACCCAGCTCTACTGGGCACAGCCATCACAGCAGTTACCAAACAAGTATTGTTACCAGTAGGAATCACAGAGCAGAGCCCAGCTCTAAGCTGAAAGTCAGGGCTTCTTCTCACTCAGAACTCTGTATGTCACTGCTAAAGCCCCTGCCTTCTTCATACACATCTACAGGGTCACACTACATCTAGAAAGCTTCAGCAAGGTCTCCATCTTATGCCCACTCTCACGATACTTTGCACCTCTTTCTATACTTTGCGTATACCTTCTATACAATTTCTATTGTGCTCTTCATACTAAATTTGTCTGTCTCCCTATTGTAAACTGGTCAAGAAGTGCTTTCTCCTGTATCTTTCAACAACAACTACAGGCCAATCTACTCTCCTGTGGGAAGCAAGTGACATGGCAGCGCTTTCCAGGATGCCTCAGACAGCTCTGCCATAACCCATCAAATAAATACTTAAGATTTTCTGACCTTGTGTTTAAGTAGTATATCTAAATCCATTTCTCTCTCCTTCCCCCCTCCCCAGCTCATTTTGCTCAAGTCACTTGCCTTCTCCTTCTGCAAGCACAGGAATTAGAATACTGTTCTTCCTTACGAGGGAAAAGCACCAGGTATTATTGTCAAACGAGGACAGAAATCCTCAGGTGAAAGGGAGCAAAGCCCTCGGGACGCATGATGCCCCACAGGACTTCTCAACTGCACGGCTGACACTGGGCTGGCCAGGAGCTCCCCAGGCCCTCGCTGGGCGCCCAGGAGGGCCTCCCGGCCCGACTGCTCTGCGGTAACGTCACGTTTACCTGCCCTGCGGCACCCTTTACCTGCCCTGCTCGAGCTGCTGGAGTTCTGCGCGGGCGCTGGCGTGACGTGGTTGGCAGCGGCCGAGGAGGAAGGGGAAGGGACAGGGGGGGCTGCGATTTTGCCTCCCGGAGGGGGTGGGAGCAGGCTGAGGCCCCCCGAGCCAGGCGCGCGGGGCTTGGCGGCCCCTCCTTTCTTGGTAGCCATGTTCTGCATTAAAAACACGGGGAGGGGGACAAGTGAGGGAGCATCCCAACTGGCAGATCCAAAGAGAGAGGCCGGCACCACCAGACTCCTTACCCCAATGTTCAGTTTGATGGTCTGTCCTTCCTTGAATCCTAAGTCTAATTTTGGACGTGTGTCAGCTTCCTGGGATTCCTTGGAGATCTCAGTCTCTTGCTTCACCCACCTAAAAGGAAAACAGGAAAACATAAGGTCCTTCAAAAAAATGCCTCTTCCCTCCCGCCAAAGGCTGGCTACCTCCTGCTCCCAGTGCAGCACGGCAGAAAGCCCAGACACATCCTGCTCCCCCAAACAGGTGCCCAACACCATGTCTGCAGCATCCCATAACCCGGGCTTTCAACCTACAGATCTGACCCTCAGAGACCCTCAGTCTGTGCTGTGGCTGACAGCACACCCAGGTGTCCCTGATGGAGCCACGGCCGGGCTTCAAGACTATCCAAAAAACTGTCCTAAATGAATGTGCTCAGCTGCCACTGTATACCATGGGCCAGAGGAAAAACAGCATCCCAGGAAGCACAACTCACTTGAAATGATCCTGCAAGGAGACATTGAAGTCAAACGCATCACCTCGATCCACGAAGCCAATGCCAATGAAAGCGCTTCGCCCTAATGGGGAGACAACAGGAGTCACTGAAAGTATCTTGCACAGTTTCTTGCTCCCAAATCCTTCTGCTTCTCTGCGCTACCTCCTTTGACAGCTCTGCAGCTGGACAACGCAGGCACAGAGCACCTCGCTGCTCCTCATCTGCAGGGTGCACCCTTCATGCCACGCAACTCTCTCCAAAACTGAATCCTCCTTCTGAGGCCCTGGGCTCTGTGCAACACAGAGATCCCTCTTCTGCTAACCTTGCCTTCTCACTCCTTCAGGCGGCCTCTCCAGCCTTTCCAGCACTCACAGCATCCTCTCAATCCAGCTGTGCACACTTGGTTTCCGTAAGTTAACTCTCTTCCACCCTCAACACTTGGGCCATGCAAGACCCTGGACTCACCAGTCCCATTCTGAATCCGAATGACAAAATAGCGGCTGGAATCTGTCACAGTCTCCACTGCAATGCCAGGGTATTGGTCGATGGGAGCCTGAGCAAAAAGTTCCCCTATGGACAAAGAATCGTGTGTTAATGAAAACAACCTCTTCCCAACAAAGTTTTCAATGTTTTTTCCTAAAATGTTGTTGCTGCTGCCATGCAGTCCTTCCAGTTGACTTAAAAGCACAGGCCCATCGGCAGCACTCCCATTTACAATGTTGACCAGAAACAACCATTGCCCTACCTGAAACTTTATCCTCCAGTTTTATGTATGCAGTTTTGCCTTTGGAGGTCACACGAAGTCGCCCCGTCCAATCCGGATGGTCCAGTTTCCAGTCAGAAGCCCTGGAAAGAACAGCAACCGCTCACTGCTGGTACCTCAACGTTTACATTTCTGCCCAAACAGCTCAGCTACAGCCTCTGCTCCCGAACCTTCATCACATACAGTTGCCTTATTCCACTTCTCTCTCCCTGTGAGGTGTGGGAGTCTGCTCCTCTCCATCGCAGGGACAGCTCCTCATTGAGGGTCTCAGCTCCTCTCTATTGCTACCAGCGAACACGGGAGACTCAGAATGGCCTTTCTTTCCCTTGGGTAAAGGAAAATAGATACAGTCTATAGAACATAAAAGCCCCATCTTTACAAACTTGCAGATATGGAGACATTGATGCCCTAGAGCTCAGCTGGCACAGTTGGCCCAAAAGGGACTAATAAGCAACTAGGCGGCCTCAGGAAGACCTAAAACAATTAGAGCATGCTGAAAAAGACTTTATTATTTTACTCCATTGTTGTAAAATGTATTATGCATCTCTGAAACTGGAGGCAGTTGCTTACACTCAGCAAGATGCCGCACACAAGTCACCTTGTTCAGCCCATTCATCAGCTTCTTCGCTGGAAGGTGTTGGGCGGCAGGGGGAAGGGGGTCAATCCTACAGGATTCTACAGCCAAACCCAAACATTCGTATCCAGGAATGACACGGGCAGCAGCAACACTTGAGCAAATCCTGCTGCTGACACCGCGGCTGTTTCAGGGCATCTGCCGGTCTCTCCAAGAGCTCTGCGGAAGCGGCTCCCACGGGCACATTCCCCTGGTTCCAGCTGAACACACTTTCCTAACTCCTGCCCTGAAGCTTATTTTTGTTTGTAAGAGTCACAATCACCACCTCTTTCTGCTTCCACCCCAACCTCACCAAGAGCCAGCGTGCCAAGTTCAACCTCTCATCACCACCACACCGGACCGGCGCCTCGGGGAGCAGAGCTACCTAAACTGAGGGCAGCAGTTAGACCTGACACAAAAAGCGACCGACACATTCGCACCCTGTGCGAGATGAACGAGCTAACACCCTCCTCTGAAGCACAGGATGGGGAGACTCCTGGTTTTGGGCACAGAGCCCACACGGCAGCCTCCATACGGATTTATCGGGGACACCCGCGTGCCGCCTGCCGCTGGACTCGGCGAAACCGCAGGAGCTGAAGCCCCCCAGGCCTGCCCGGCTTGCTCAGGGGCAGCGCGGCGGCTCGGCGGGCACCGGCTCCAAGTCTCTCCCTCCCCGAGCGCCGCCATCTGCGCGGAGAGGCCCGAGCGGGCAGCGCGGAGGGCACGAAACCCACCCACCCCCGGGGGAGGCAGCGGCCGCCCGACGCGAGGGCAGATGAAGGAGAAGCCCCTTCCACAGCTCCGCGCTCCGCCGCCGCCGGGGCTGCAGGGCTGCAGTGCCGCCCGGCCAGCGCCGCCGCCGCGGGCGCCATGTCGGCTCGCGCCGCCGCTCCCCGCGCCGCTACCTGTATCCGCGGTTGGAGCTGCGCGGCGGGATGCGGTACACGTTGACATCGGGCTTCACGCAGAGCACGGACTCATACTCCAGCTCGGCGGCCGCCGCCATCTCAGAGCAATCCGCCCCCAACACCCCCAGCAAAGAGCGGCGGGTGGGGAGCCTAATAACAGGAGGCGCTTCCGACCGCCATGTTTGCTGAGGGCAGGCGCTGCCGCGGGAGGGCGGGCGCAGCCATGTTGCAACGCGGCCACGCCAGGAGCGTGGCGGAAGCTCCCGCGGATCCGGGCAGCAGAGCGCTGTGGCGGGGGAGGGCAGGTGGCCATATTAGATCCGCGTCTGACAAAGCAATACGGTGGGCGCCATCTTGGATCTCGGTAGTTCCCACTGGGGGAAAGTTTTGCGCAGCCATATTTGATCCGGGCCCATGAAGCCGCGTCGAGCGCCATGTCGGACGATGGCGCCTTCCTTTTCGCTCCGAAGCCGGAGGGGAGCGCGGCGCCGCCATGTTGGAAGCGGGCAGAGCGAGGCCGGCGGCTGCCCTAGGTGGCAGAGGCGGCCGCGGCGCGGGGAAGGTGCTCGCCCCCCCTGGGCCTTCATGGGCCGTCCTGGGCCCTCCGGCACCAACCGTGGGGTCTGGGCAGCGAGCCCAGCCCAGCCCAGCTTAGCCCAGCCCAGCCCAGCCCAGCCCAGCCCAGCCCAGCCCAGCGCCGCCAGGCACGGGCCGCCCCGGCAAGGGTGAGGGCTGCTGCCCACGGGCCCAGGGCAGGACATTAGTGGCACCGAGCGCAAGCTCCCGGTGTCGGGGCAGCAGGCGCAGCGAAAGCCCCGGCTGTGCCAAAGCGGACTCGAACCCCGCACTTTCGTGGGTTTTGTCTTTATTATTTTTAGCTCGCTGGGTGTTCGTAGGACAATTTTGGATGCTTTGCCTGCTTGCTTTTTTTTTTAATGTCTGTTTTTTCTTTTTTTCCTTTTTTCCCTCCTTATGTACAGCCTTTCAAAAAGTTCAGAAAGTTCAAAAAAGTTTCAAAAAGTTCAAAAAGTTGGATTTTATAGAGAGGAAAAGAAAAAAAAAAGCATTTTTCACGTACTCTCGTGGTTCTGGGAGGGGGAAGCCTTTGGTAAAATGCCAAAGGAAAGAGGAAGTACAACACAAACCACTGTAACTCTTCCAGCTAAAACTGATGAAAATACATGTTAAATAAAGGCTGAGTTCAGAGGTAAGACTCCAGAAATGTGGCTAGTAGAAGTATATAAACACTAATTTATTTATGAAATAAAATAAAATGAATGCTAGTAGTGTTTACACTGTGATTTTTTTAAGAGTCACTGACTTCCCAGCGAAAGCTGATTCTGAAGTCCACTACAGTCCAGACCCTGAAGACTGCGAGGAGAAAAGGGATAAGGCAGTTTACAGCTGGAGTTACCTTTGTCCAGCTGTCCATCCTGGGACAGGCATAACCCGGGTTAATTGTGCGGGGAATTTAAGCAATGCACAAAACGCAGAGTGAGCTTGGTTTATTGCCGAGGGTAAAGTGAATGATACAGCTCTGAGCTTGGGAAAGATTTTTATTTTCTGGTATGGCATAGTGTTAGATAACGCATTGAGAGCTGAAACTTTATTTGAAGATTGGTTGCTGTTTTCATTCCAGGGGTTAATGAAAGGGGATGCTAACAGAGCCCCAGACAAGCGGCATTTCTGCCAGGCCAAAGGTTCGGGTCCCTGGCAGTGCCCGGTGCTGAAAACCTTGCAGACGAAGGGGGTTTGTGCTGCCAGTTCCATAGATCAGATAAGCGAAGCCCAGAAAAAAATAAAAAATAAAAACAAAATAATAAAAAAAAAGAGGAAGTCTTGACTTATTATAGTCATTCACTCATTAAAACCAGCAAAACAAAACTCTGGTAATTTCACCTATGTAAATATAACCGGCCTGGTTTTTGAGGAAAAACCTTGGTGTGGGCAGTTGTTTGAATAGATACAGAGAAGCTGTATGATTGGTGTGAGCTGTAGAGCTGAATTACTCTGGAATTATGTAAATACACAACTTCCCTTTTCCTTTTCCAAGATGCTCGTTCTGCTTCCGTGCAGTGGGAGGGAGGGGCCGGCACCTGCGATTCATTTCCCTGGCATGTCTGGATGCCCTGGGGCACTGAGGACCTTCCCCTGCCTGGACAGGGAGACGGAACCTGCTTCAGGCAGCTGGGCAAGAGCAAATAAGCGCGCGTGGAGCTGATGCTTGGTGCAGGTAGGTGCCATAGGGCAAAATAAGGCCCTGCCTGCCGTGTGCCAGGGTATGCTGCTTGCCCGGTGGTCTGAGTAATAGGAAAGGGAAGAGGAAGCCCCGCTGTGATGCTGAGCTGAAGTTAAAAGGGAGTAGTGTGAGGAACATGTTGGTAGCAAAGTTGCTTAGAAGAACATGTGAGGCAGCACAGAATTACCCTTTCCTCGTGTGAGCAGAGGCTGAGAGGACTGCGACTGGATAGCCTGCGAGGGAGAAAAAAAAAAAAAGAAGAAAAAAGGAAAGAAGGAAGGAAAGAAAGGAAGAAAGAAGGGAAGGGAAGGGAAGGGAAGGGAAGGGAAGGGAAGGGAAGGGAAGGGAAGGGAAGGGAAGGGAAGGATCTTACCAACCTGAAGGCAGGGTGTGAAGAGGATGGGGCTGGGCTCTTCTCAGTGGTGCCCAGTGACAAGGAAAGAGGCAAAGGGCACAGACTGAAACATGGGAGGTTCTATCTGAATCTAAGAAAAAACGTTTTTTACTGTGAGAGCATCTGAACATGTTGCCCAGAGAGGTTGTGGAGTCTCCTTTCTCGGAGATACTCAAAAGTGTCTGGACAGAGTCCTGGGCAACGTGCTCTAGTTGATCCTCCTCGAACGGGGGAGTTGGACTAGGTCATCTCTAGAGGCTCCTTCCAACCCCAGCCTTTCTGTGATCTATGGTAGCCTGATACTCCTCTATACAGAAGAATCATTTGAGCTTTTGCTTTGCTTTGATTAAATTTAAGAAAAAACAATGCATTGTCTAACAATGTGCATGACGCCTGTCATAACAGATGGATGCAACATAAGGAGTTTTCCTTTTGTGCAGCAAAGACACAAGGGAAACTCATCTTGCAAAATGAATCACTTAAAGGTCAGGCTTGAAGCAGCATTTACAGAGAACAATCCAAATCCTGTTTCAGACAGTGCCTCTTTACTGAAACTTTTGACCCAAACTACCATGCAGTGATGAGACTCTCTCGTGGAGACTGCTCTTTCATTCTGTGTGATCTGTACATGTGTCAGTTTTGCCAGCTTGTTCCCTACTTGATGTGCAAAAGGCTTGTGTCCTACCTGACCTTACCCAGCAGTGTGCAGGAAAGGTTTTGGGTCATCCAGGAGATTTTCTGAAGAAGGGAATCTGAGGAATATTGATGCAGTGCAACCTTGGCCGTGCTCTGGCACCCTCGGTGTTTTGGGCTTATGATGCTTTACAGCTGTAAATCGAAGATCTGGCCTCACCTAATCCAAGTAACTGTTTACTGAAAGTTATGAAATGCCTTCTTCCCAATTTGCTCCATCTCCTTGAAATGTGCAAGTGTCTCCTTCACTAGGCCCTTCACGCTGAGGTGCAAAATACCTTGCTGCTCAAACTGCTTAGGAGGTTCAGTTGTGCTGGGAACCCCTACAGAGAGGTACCTCATCATCTTATCCCTGTGCAGAGAGAGCTGGATGGACTGAGCGAAGGGTTTGTTGTAGTTAAAGTGTTCGCTGTGTCCAGGTTGGCTGCCGGGGAAAGGTTTTACCAGAGGGAATTGGAGCTAGCTCCGTGATGAGGATGACCTTCTTGCAAGGGAGAGTTTGGCTGGGTCTATCCAATGTCGTGATGATGGAGAGGCTGGAAAAAATGACCACAAGAGTATCCTCTTATTAACTGGAAAATGCACCTTCTCCTCAGATCACTTGTTTTCTGGGCCTGAGGAGACCCAGGAAAGGCATCTGAGAAGAGGAGGCAGGTGGAGGGACTGAGCTGGCCAGCAGCCTCCGTAGGAGCTCATCGCTCGCTGGTGCGGAGCCCGGTGCTGTCCTGCCTTCCTGCCTAAGGGTTTCGTTTTCGAGCTGACGTTCATGCATTGCACAGAGCAGATGACATGCTCGTGAGCAGGACTCTTCTCTGTCCTCATAGTTTTTCAATACCAAAGTGCTGAGTCTCATTCTTTTAAGTCCAGGCTTTACCATTTCTGCTTTCTCTTGATTTCCCAATTTCGTGGAAAAGACAAAAAAAAAGAAAAAAAAAAAAACACCCTAGTGTTAGATACTTGAGTGCTTTACTCCGGATGTCTTTTTACATCATGCTATTTTTTGTGTTATCAGCATTTCAATTAACCACTTCTCTATCTCTTCTTTTTTTAATCCATTAAGTTCCTTTTAAAAAAAGCCATAACTTCTTAAAAATGTTGCATATCAGACTAAAATCTGTTTGAGACCTTCCAGTAATGTCTTGTTGGGTGAAGAGTTTGGGTATTTGCTGAGCTAAGCGATTTCAAGTTGGAACAGAATCGGATCCGGACTGGTAAGAATCCGGAATGATAAGGAACGGGATTAGCTCCATGAAGGTGCCGATGTGACCGAGCTGGAGGTGGCTTCCAGACAACAGACCAGGCACCTGATGGTAACGCGGCAGGGTTTGAATTTATCAGCTGTATCAAGCAGTGGCCAGTGCTAGGCCAACAGAGAAGAGAAACGCTTGAGCGTCGCAGTCCAGTGTTGCTCTATGGAAACTTTCTTTTAAAGTGTGTGTTGTGCCTCTCTGTCCCTTGACTCCAGAGCCCATTTTATTCTGACAGTGTCAGGACAACTGCTTTTTTGTTTGTTTGTTTGTTTGTTTTGTTTTGTTTTGTTTGTTTGTTTGCTTCCTTTTTCTAGCAGATTATATCTAAAATCTGAGATATGAATCAGCTTAAACCCTTCCGGCAGGGCACAGGAACATGAATAGCACAGCCATGCCCATAGTGGAAAAAAACAGTTCCTAAAACATCAGGAGGTTTCTTTTTTCAGTCACTTCACAGTCAAAGCAAGATAGTTGTTGTTCCCAGACACGCTGATGTATCTGCTTCACTCGGGTAGGTGCAATAAGGCACAAAATTCTGCTTTCCTTTCCAATTTGCAATTTCTTACTGTTCTCTCCTGAAAATCTCTCTCCCTCCATTTTTCCTTTCCATCTTCCCAGACACATAGCAGCTTTTTAGCATTCTTGAAAACACAGGATGGACAGGATCATCTTATTGTTTCCTCTCTCTCTTTGCTTTGGTGTAGGATTTCTATTACTGTTTTTACAGCATTGTCTGATTCTCTCTGCTCTTTACACTGTACTTACATTCTGTAGCTCTGTGAGGAGACTGTTCTCTGATGATGTCTGTAAAAGTGTCCTCTGTATATGGCAATGGGACCACAGGAGAATGAACAGATTCTTGCTAGATTTTTTAGTTAAGAACAGCAGCTGCCTTCAGTGGCTTTCTTCAAAGCTTTCCTCATGGCTCACCCTCACCTAGAGGGTTAGGGTAACTGTAGGGTAACTAGCAACTCCTAGTGACTGTTACCTATGTGTGGTACTTACAGTGCTCATTACAACTATTCAACTCATTTTCCTCTTAGTGAGGCAGTTTCACTGCTTCTGATCCACATCTAGACTGTATGTGATACAAGAAAGAAACTGATTATTTGTTTTTGCTGTTTTTTTTTTTCTTTATAATACATACATTTAGTCCTGCACTCAACAATCCTTGGCCAGCGTGTCTGTGCTGCCACAGCAGAGGTTAAAATATAAGCAGTGTTTGTTGCCTCATGTCCTCTCAGCTGATTCTCCAGGCTGAATTCAGCTCTAACCTGTGCAGCTTCCCTGTCTTCAGGTGATGCTTTGAGGGACCTTTCAGCAACACAGCTCTCTCCATAGATTCAGCAAGTGCTTTGCTGTTCGGGATTTTGGAAACAATTCTGTTAAGGCTTAAAAGATGAGTTTTTTTCTTTCAGACATATCTTTGCTTTGTTGAATTTCCTCTACTTAATATGCGAATGTTCAAGTGCAATACTAACTGAGCAATCAAAAGCTTCAACTGCCACTTTGCAAGAGTTTTAAAACCACACTTAAGCCCTGTGGTTCCACTTTGGTTTGCTAGAAGGACAGCTTCTTACATCTAAAATGCTTGAAGAACATTATTGGTATTATTTTGCATTTTAATTTTTCTCTCCATAATCTCTATAATCTCCATCTGTTATTCTTAAACCATTCACCTCTTGCTCATCAAGACTAGAAATGGAAGGAACTGGCAGATTGGTCATAACAGATACTGGGGCTAGAAAAGCAGGGAAGCAAAATGCTTGCTTGGACTTTCCTGTAAATGTCCTTCTGCAAATAGAATTGCCAACCTCTGTTCTATTTGTAATGTCCAGAGAACAGAGCAGACATTTCATCAAGACAAGCATTGCTTTCTCAGCTTAAGTCTGCTTCACTGTTTGTGCCAAGAGGAAAAATTACTTGTTTTAAAAGGTAAAGGAACTACAATGCTGACTTGCTTTTCTGAAGAACAAAACCATAAGCAAAACTAGAAGTTCGTCAGGGAAGAAGCTTGAAGATGATGTGCACATGGCTGCGAATAAAGTGAGACCTCCACTTTAGAGACTAAAAACAGGGAGAAACGAGATCAAAAGGGATCACAGAGATAGGAGAGCATATACAAAACCTCTGTTTGAACTGTGGGGCTGTTTTTCTGATGTGACTTTGCCCCCATGCAAATGATGAAGCTATTTAATGGTCAGGCAATGGTATGGGCAAGCTTTTGGAACAAAGTAACACAGAGCTATAATTTTGCATCCAGAGAGGTCAGTACTGTCACCTGACTCAGCAAAGCATTAGTACACAAATGAGAGGAATTTGGGAAGGAAGTGGTGACCTTCCTACTAATTTGCTTTCTGTTTTATAGCTCTAGAATGTCTCTGCTCCTGGACAACAGCACTTCCCACGAACAGGCTCCTGCACACTATGCATCGGAATCCATTGGCTCTCTGGTTGTCTTCATCCTTGTCTTCATAATAGGTATCCCGGGCAATGGTTTGGTGATCTGGGTAGCTGGCCTGAAAATGAAGAGATCTGTGAACATTGTCTGGTTCCTGAACCTTGCTGTGGCCGATTTCATGTGCTGCTTGTCTTTGCCATTCTTCATTGTGCATCTGGTCCTCCATGAACACTGGCCGTATGGCTGGTTCCTCTGCAAAGTAATTCCTTCGGTCATCATCTTCACCATGTTTGCCAGTGTTCTGCTCCTCATGGCCATCAGCATCGATCGGTGCCTCCTCGTGATGAGACCTGTCTGGTGCCAAAATCATCGAACGGTGAAGTTCGTGTCAGTGATGTGCGGGGGCATTTGGGTTCTGGCCTTCTTTTTCAGCTGCCCCGTCTTTCACTACCGTGAGACTATCACTTACGATGGCAAAACCGAGTGTGGGTACAGTTTTGGAGATGATAAAATGCTAGATTATATGGATAACAACGGTTTTGCAAAGGAAGTCTTGGAAGAAAGCTCACCTTTAGTACCAACTGGCACCTATGACCGCACCATCTTCCTTCATCGGCCTGTTGATGATTTTCCAGATTTCCAAACAGAGAACACACCTACCGACAAAGACACAGGCACAGCATCCGACATTGGCTACCTTGCAGTACCAGCAGACATTAACTCGCTGTTAACTTCCCGGGCCTCTCCTGACGTGAGGCTGTTGGAATCTCCTGGTGGTCTCCCAAGTGCAGACACGTCTGCGCCATCCGACGCTGATCTCCCTTTAAAACCAACCCGTGGTGGTTTTCCTGATGGTTTCCTCTATTTTGACGTGTACAGTGGTAACGACTCACTGGGAGACTTCTACGAGGATGATGGCTTTCCACCTCTCCCGTTGGTGGTGATAACCATCACCCGGGCCGTCTTTGGCTTCCTGCTGCCCTTCGGCGTCATGGCCGTGTGCTACGCGCTCATTGCTTGCAGGACGCACGCCGCTCAGTTCCACAAGCAACGCAGCAAGATGCTGCGAGTCATCTTGCTCGTCATCGCCGCCTTCTTCGTCTGCTGGGCTCCCTACCACGTGGTCGGGATTCTCTCCTTTGTATCCATTCCTGGAACGGGACTGAGGGAGTCGTTGGTCTTCTGGGATCAACTCTCTTCGGCATTGGCCTACACAAACAGCTGCATCAACCCCCTGCTTTATGTTTTTGTGGGGAAGGACTTCAGGGCAAAGGCACGGCAATCCCTGCAGGGAATCCTGGAAAGTGCCTTTGTTGAGGAACCAACCCATACAAGTCCTCACTCCCTTGATAAAAGCAAGACATCCGTGGATAAGGATGCTAGCAGCACGGTCTAAGGCAGGACTTCATGCCGCCACTGCAGGGACCAGTAGTACCTTTCCACACACAGCTTTTGCTCTAACACATTTATTAACCTGCAGAGCTGCACAGGGGGTACAGAGATGGCTCACATGAGAAGAGCCACCCCCCTTATATCCTCCTCTAGAGAGATGGGGAGCTGCAATACTGGAAGCAATAAGCTTTGAAGGAACACGCGGGTGAGGAAGAGGAAAGGCCCGGAGTACGTGGCTTGCAAAGCTAGTTTTGGTGGAATCATATAATTCACCCTCTGAATTACTAGACGATGATACTGAAGTTATTTGCATGTTGCATCTATTGTAAATGTTCTGTATTTCCTGTTTCTGATAAAACTGCAGAGAAAATTATCTTGTGTCTCTCCTCAAAATCTGTCCTCTCACCTTTCTTCTCCTTTACTTGTATTTAGAACTGAAGGTTTTTTTTTTTTTTTTTTCAAATTCCTGCAGATATATGAAGAGCCTTTTCTCACATCTCGTAACAATGCACTGGACTTGCACTTTCTCTAGACAGGTTTTTCATGCCCATGGATGCCTATTTCTTATTCTCAGCAAATACATCACTGTAATCTAGAAGCTGGTCAAATCCCAAGCTGTAGGTAGGTCCATTAATATGTGCTCGCTCAGGCTCTTTCAAACACTCTACCACTAAAGTCCCAGATCGCTTTAGGATGTGGTCTGAGGTGAATGTCCCTACTGCATTTTAAGACACCGACAAACAGAACTTGATTGTGTGCAGTCATTCTCAAACCCAATGAGGGGACCACTGCTCTATCATCCCTTTAGTGAAACTTTGGAAGTGGGAAGGGATATCTTCCAGTCTACCAGAAGGAAGGTGCTGCTGAATCATCTCAGGTCCTGATGCCTATAAGAGAAAGGTGTTCCTCATGTAAAGACGTGTAAAGATTTTGGAGGAGGAAGATAAAAGTTTGTTCCACCCATGTTCTTGGCATTCCCCAAGCTACAATGTTCCCTAGTGCTGAAAAGTGTAAGTATGAGCACGTAACACGTGCTTTTGGTGTTAGACCTCCTTACCATTTGCTGACTATACTTTTGTACGACGAACACCCTCTACGCTTTGACACAGTGGAAAGGATGTCCTCCTGGCAGGTAAACCAGTGACAGGAAACAGAAGCACCTGAAAGACTCCCTGCTCTCAGGGCCGGGCAAGCATCCAGCTGGGAACACCCCCGTCTTCCTCGATGGCCTAAAGTGCCCCTGTTGTAACGTGCCCCACTGTGTGGGCTCAGCCCCCTCCAACCTCCCATTCGGCCTGCAAGGTAAGGGGGGGGCACCCGCCACCCTGACATGGCCCCGGACAAAAGAAAACCCAAAACAAACAAAAAAACCAGTCCACACACTGCCGGCACCAAGGAAGTTAAACCATAAACATTCACTTTTCCTTTTTATTAAGAAAGCATGCACAAAAATAAACTCGTGAGAGCCCGTCCCCGTGGCCCCGGCGCGGGAGGGCGCGCGGGCCGCGGCGGCGCAGGCGGCTCCCTCCCTCCGCGGGGCTCCCGCGTCCCGCCGGGCGTCCCTCGCGCTGACCATGCACAGCGCCTGCGATTCCACGGGCAGGGGGAGCGGGGCTGCTTTGCACACTGACCGGCACATATTTACATACGCAAATGAGGCGCAACAGAATATGCGAATGAGGCAAATATGCGAATGAGGAGCGCTCAGCTATGCAGAAGGAGCTCTCCTTCCAGGCGGTGGATTCGGCCTTCCGCGGGGCTGGCTTTCCCTACAGTCCTTGGAGGAGCTGCCTCCGGCGCAGTGTCCCGTGGAAAGCCGGCCCCGCGGCGCCTGCTTCCAAGCGGTGCTATTCCCACCCTCACCAGCAGGGATGGCAGCTGAGTCCGTGCTGAGGGGGGCTCCAGGAGTCCTCATTTCCCTCAGAAACACTCAATGACGAATTCCCCCCCTACACACACGCGCGCACACACACACACGCACACATACACACGTACTTAATAAGGAAGAAGGAAAAAAAAAAAAAAAAGAAAAAAGAAAAAGGAAAAAGAGCCCCCCTTCCCCCCAGCCCAATCCAATGAGACTCTGTCCACTTCCCTGACAAAGATCCAATTGTTTTTTCCCTACGGCAAATTCAACAAGCGATGCTGAACTCCCTGCCCTGCCCCAGGTGTGAGAAGCCCCCTGAAGATGTTCGACTCCCATCCTGGTTCCCCTCACTCCTGGTAAATAGGAAATAAGGGCAGGGGGAAGTTCTACAAAACACAGAGAGGAAACAAGAGGTTGGACAGAGCAGAGCCCTACTAGGAAAAGGGGAACAGCGGACACAGCTTGAGGGAGGAAGCATCTCAAAACTCAGGCCTGCCTCCAACACCTTTTCCACCTTCCTGCTTTGCAAGTGCTGACAAGAACCCATCCTTGAGGGCTTAAAATCTCTTCCACTACCTCCCCGGTTGAACTGCAAGGATCTGCCTCTCCAGCCTCCCCTTTGTATTCTACCCCTTTGCTGCTCAGTTCCTTTCGTCCCTCTCCTAGTGCAACTCTGACAACCGTGTCACCCGTGAGGGCCTCCCATTAACTCAACAGGAGGCTCCAGCTCCTTGACCCCAAGTTCCCTAATTCACCTGCATCCTGAGTAGCAGCTTCCTCTTTCCACCTTCAGCCCACTCACCAAACGGGTGCCAACAACTGACAATGTGTATCTACACGGGCAAGACTTGCCGGCGTTCTCAAATCCACAGGCAAGGACAGTCTCCAAAGAAAGGAGAGAGGGAGAGGGGCAAACAACAACTGCACAAATACTGATGGCGTGGGAGAACTTCCTGATTCGCATATGCAGACGAGAGTCTGACCACCTATTTTGAAGAGGGGGCTTGGGATCAAACTAAAAGCTCTGGGGAACAGGAATTTGATGAGTCACATCTGGCCTCCCCCAGCTGCTGGTGCAGAGACACCTATGGAGCTTCTCTTACCTGGCAGGCTTGTAGGCTTCACCTCCCTGGAAACTGCACGAAACACACCAGGATTCCCTCCCAAGCTTTACATTCTCATAAATGGCATCGCATCCTGAAACCCATCTCTGCTGAAATGGCTTCTCTTCTATAGGTTTTCTTTTCTCCGCATTCCCAGCTCAGTTCAGCTCTCCCAACCTCAGAGACTGCCCTCTCTTTGTACTTGGAATCTCTATTTCTTTTCTTGCCTTTTTTTCCTCTTTTTCCCCCCCTCCTGTTGGTGCAAGAAAGTTCACAGAGCTAAGAACACCCCCCTCCAGTGTCCCTTTAATCCCCTGACTTTTACAACACAGAAGCAACAACATAATTACAGGCTCCCAAGGTCCACCAGGCTCCCTTGCTCCGGCAGCCAACGGGACAGCTCCAGAGGCCACCTCGAGGGGAAAGAGGGATTGTTGAACGCAAAACGACGGAGGCAGGGAAAGGCGCTCTCGAGGCTTTGGCCTTCCCAGGTCTTTCCACGGCACCGAGGAGCCACGGCTGGGCCCTGCGCCGGGCACCACGCGCACGGAGTGGCCGAGCCGGCACCCAAGGCCACCAAGGGAGCGGGAGGGCTGTGCTCAATTACTGGTAATAATAACAATAATAATAACAATAATAATAATAATAAACAAAAAGAAAAAGAAGATAAACAGGACGCAAGGAAGGATTATCTTCGGCAGCATCTTGCGGTGGCTTCTCTGGCAGAGTTAGAGAATATATATCTATATACAGGAAAGGCAGGGGGAGCGGTGCTGACACCCTTCGCCCCACGTCCCCCTTCCCTCCCGTGTCCTTCACGAAGGACGGGCTCTCAAGTCTGTGACTTGCTAGGTGATCAAGTCCCAGTCGAAATCGTCAGGGATTTCCTCGTTGGCGCCTGGAGGAGGGCCTGGAGGCCGAGGGACCAGGTGGTGGCCTGAACCGAGCACGTGATGAGGGAAGAGAAGGAAACAGAACAGTTAGAAGAGGAAAAAGTCATGGCTTTTCAGAGCTGGCTCCCAGGCAAAGGAAAATGAAAGGGATTCCAGCACCACGAGCTCCTCCTCACAGTCAAACAAACAATGAAATCATTGGAAAGGATTTCCCCCTCTTGGACAGCAAGTACGAAAGCCTGCAGGTAGGAAGTGCTGTGAACTTCACAGCGGCACCTACAGAGCTAATTTGCAGCCCCTTAGTTCCTCCCAGCTGATTGCTGCAAGGGCACAGAACACTCCAGCACCAGGAGGCTCCCTACATCAAGTTATCTCCAAGCAACTGACCGAAGGTGAGGCTGGGCTGGGAGACCATGCACGTCAGGTGAAAGAAATCAGGCCACTGTAATTCTAAATCCTGCGGGAGTAACAGCACAACCCTTACGAAGGATCCCTTGCAGCCCAGGCTCCTTCTCCACCCTCAGTGCTCCATCTGACTAGCAAGTGCTTTAGGAGAAACACGTAGAGGTTTTGGAACCCCCTTCTTCATTCTTCATTTGTATAATGAAGGTTGTCTTAATGGCACCTCTTACCTGGGCGATTATATCCTGGAGAGTCCTGGGTGGAAATCTGGTACATAGGAGATGGCCCGGAGAAGAGATGGGGAGGCTGGGGCTGACCATAGGAGTTCACTTGGAAAGGAAAGGAAAAAGAAAACTGCTAGTATTCTGGTTCTCTCTCATGGCCCTAACTGGGTGGCAGCTCAGCCACAGAGGAACTCCCTCAGACCCACAGGATACTGAGAAAATGTTCCAAACTGTATTGCTCCAAAATGATCCAAATGTATTGGATCCTTACTGCAAGCCACAGCTTGGTCAAGGATCTTGCTCTGGCAAACAGCAAGAGATTTTCTATCCACGGGGAAAAAAAAAGAAAAATCATTCAGAAACACCAGAAGTTGCCTCAAAATCACAACTCAGTTCAGTGCTAGGCAATACACATGACCTGAGCTGTATGAAGACCAAGATGCATGATAACCTCTGGGCTGCTGTCACCCTACAACCTCCTACTCTTTGTCCAGTTAGCTCTCCTCCAACATGGGTGCCAGAACTGTTGCCATGTGAAAGAGCAGCCTTCCTAGCTTGTCATTCCTTTCTGCTTTTTAGCTACAGAAAACAAACTCCACCTGCTTTCTCCATATACTTTCTCCAAGGTATTTCTGCCAGGATATAGTGCCACACAGTGGTTTGTACCATGTGATGATGCTGTCTCTAGGCCCCAAACACAGGAAAGCCCGAATTCTTTACAGCCAGCTGAAGCTGAGCTGGTACAAGAAGGGCTCTCAAACAGCCAGGCCCCGAGCTGCTCGACGCTACACTGCCTGGCAAGCTGGGAAGTTGTCTGGGATATCCACAAAATTGGGCCTTCAATTAAACAACTTCTTTTCTACCCGCTCGTTACCTTGGTTCATGGACTGCTCCTGCTTGCCACTGTTAAGGGCACAAGAATCAGAGATTCGGGGGGGCTGCTGTGGGCCGATTAGGTGAGGAAGCTGACCAGTCTGGGTAAGGAAGTGATTGAGGGAGTCGCAGAGGTTGGCAATGTGGTGTTGATCCAACGTCCAGTTCTTCCGTTCAGCCTGGCGCAGACTCTCCATGAGCTCTGCAGAAGACAAGGGACAGCGTCAAAGCCAGCACGTACAGCGGTCTCTCCCCTTGACTCTGAAAGGGTCCCTGCAAGTAGCTGCTCTCTCACACCCTTAAATCTTGCTTTCTCTCTGCAAACCCTCCTTTCTGATCAGTCACAGAGCATCTGTAGAGCTTCCTTTTCAGGGTGCTGTCTCACTGACTCAGGCTGGGGGGAAAGAAGCAGGAGGGAAACTCTCTTATCAGCTTTCTGTGACACTTTTATGAATTAATGCCCACACTCAGACTTGCAAAGTGTCTGTCTTTACTTTTGTACAGTGTCTGTTTTTAACAGAACCCACGGAGTAGATCTCATTTTAGAAGAGGGTGTCACTGAGAAACCCACAGACTTGTCAAGGTTACAGTTGAAAAAAAAAAAAAAAAAAAAAAAAAAAAGAAAAGAAAAACCCAAACATCTGAGCACTTGCAAATGCTGGACTACTGTTTGTAGCCACTAGCCCAAAACTGACCTGAGAACTGGGAGTGCTCAATGCTAGACCAGTTCAGCCGGTTTACCATCTTGAAGCTTTCTTTCAGGGAATCAATGTTGGAGCACCAATCAGGGGGAAAGGCTGGAATGAAATGCAGACAAGGTTTTTCCAAGACAGAACACCTCTCCCCTCCATCTCTTAATAAAAAGCCATCGCTCTCTATTCCCCCAAGGGCCTCCTGCTACAGTAGCTGGAAATCTCCCTTCCCTTGCAAGACCAGAGGATGATGTCTCTTCTTTTCATTTAGCCCCAGAATTTACCCTGCATCCTAAACAGAATCCCAATCTGTGTGCAGACGTATTCTCCTTTTCCCTCAGACAGAAGTGAATTTCCTACGATCCATCAGAACTGAATTTGACCTTTTTTGTACACAAAATACTGGCACTGCTTAGGGGAAACTGTCTCGTGGAATTTCTGCTGAGAGGGTGCCCACTGGTCTCTGTCTCTCTCGCTCTCCCTGTTCTCCCCCTCTCCCTGTCTCTTTTCTTTGCCCCTCTGTTCTCAGCCCCAGCAGCGACTCACCAAAGCCAGCGCTGTTGATTGAAGCCTGCGACTGCTGCTGCTGCTGCTGGTGCTGATGCGGCTGCTGCTGTGGGTGGGAGTGCGGGTGATGCTGCTGGTGCTGGTGGTAGCCTCCATGCTGCATTGGGGGCGGGTGCATGGACATCACTGGGGGAGGGCCGTAGCCCTCACCGCCCTGCTGCTTTCCTCCCTGGGGTGGGCAGCCCTCTGGGGTTGGGGTGTGCAGTGGGGGGCCACTGCCCACCGAGGAAGGGCCCTGCTGCTGCTGCTGGTACATGTAGTAGTTGTGGTTGGAGGGCTGCATGTCTCCAAGGAGAGAAGAGAAACCTGCAGGGTGGAAGAAAGAAGGAAGCCTTAACAGGTGCCTGGATCACAACCCTGCTTGCATTATCCAACTCACACCACTCATCCTGCTATTTAGGAAGCTTTTGGGGTGTTCCCTAGAGGCTGTAAATCACTAACACGTGCACAGGTGCTCCAAGCTCTGTTCAAAGCCAGAGACCCTACAATAAAAGATTAAACCTCTAGTACAGAGTTAGGCACAGAAACATCTCCCTGGGTTTGTCCTACGTTCAAACCCCAGCCTGCTTTCCTGAAATTTCACACGGATGTTGGGCTCCTAGAACTCACTGGTAAGCAAATGTGAAATTAAACAACAAAACACAGATAATGGGTAGGTTGGTAACACTCATTTGAAAAACTCTCTTCAGTTCCTATATTCCAAGCAACCTGGTCTGCAACCCTCACATTTTTTTTCTGACAGTTAACCAGGAATCACATGTTCTATTGCTTTTGTACACACAGCACACAGAATGTAGCAGGGCTCCTTATTTTATTTCCTCCTGACTCCTTTCATGTGTTCTTGCCACTCTCATCCATTTCAGTCATTCTCTACATGGAAGGGCAACAGGCATTCTCCATCCCTCCCCACATTAAGGCCACAGCTTATTTCTTGTGCCTGCTTCCCCCGTTCATTTTTCCCTTATGTTGTAGAGCCTCCAGAAAAAAAATCACAATGAAAAGCACTGTTGAGATACCTATTCCTTACTTTCAGTATCCTTATTTGATCATAAGCAAGCCTCAGTATTCAGCTGGAGACAAAATCAGAACTACTACTGCAATGGGGCTAAAGGGTCAATATTGTTAGCTCCTCTCATGGTTCAACCACAGCTTCTTCAAGCTTTGTAAGCTCTCCTACACCACTCTGCAGTCAAACACTTTGAAGACACACTGCTGTTTAGCTTTTACACTCAAAGACACACACAGAGTAAAGGTTCTCTTTTGGATTTGTGTAGCTTTCTTGTTCTGTAACAGCTGCATAACAGAATCCTACTAAAAACTTCAAATGTCAGCATGACGCAAGTAGAAAAATATATATGTGCGTCTGTGTGTGTGTACATATAATATATACATGTGCGTACATGTATATATATGTATATGTACACATGTATACACACACACACACACACACATTATATATAATTTCACTGAAATTTAGGAGGCTGCTCCTATAGCAGCAAACTCTGCCTGTGCTGTATGATGGCTCAGAGCTGGCTCAACTCATAATATACTCCTTTTTACAAAAGACTAATATTTACAAGAATGTTGAAAGGTGGGAACAGTCATGTGGTATTTTCATGAGCTAGTTTTTGTGGGCATCCCACCTTGTTCCTGGAGTGACTCTGCCCTCTGGCGGCTGCCTCTTCTATCAGAGAAATCTGATCTATGAATGGAATTGTGGGTTGTTCCTATTCTCCAATCCCCAAAGCTCCCTTCTCCAAGGCCTCATCCAATCCTAGTTCTAACACATCCTGGGAACAATGGCTTTCCACTCTCCTTTTGAGGAAACAACATTGCCTTGCATGCAATTACGTTCTCCCTCCTATGGCTTCTAGCCTGACAGCTCTGACGCCAGATTACGACTATTTCTCAGCCAAGCTTTTCACTCCTCTCAGCTTTTGCCATTCTTGCTTTAGTATCAACACAAGGTATTTTAAATTCATTACCCATTTTATTCTGATAGAACTAGGGACAGAGATAAAGAACATGCAAATTTCTTATCTGCACCTGGCAGAACTAATTACAGCATGCCAAGCAAAGAAAGTCTGTTTGCACAGGAACCTACAAGAGGGAAGATCTGAAAGACACCAAGTACATGTCAGTGGACAAGGCTACACCTGCACGATACATGTGGTTACTCACCGTGCTGAGAGGAAGATGATTTCTCCAGCATGGATTTGTAGAGGTTTCGGAAGGACCAGCTAAGATCCTGGAAGTTGATCTCGGAGTAGGAGAACTTGAAGTCATGGTTGGCACTGTAGAGCGGCGGTGGCACATCGGCCCCTTCCCGGCCCTGCCCACCAGCTACTGTAGAGGCTACATCAACAGGTCCTGCTCCCTGCTAAAGGACCACACGGGGTTGACACGACCCATCTCGTTTGTACCAGATTTTGTAACTTAAGACAGGAGTCCTGAGGTGGGATGTAGGCAAAATGTTCAGTGGTATCACGTAACATTGGGTTCACCTCCCACCACATCTTCCCAGAAGCCATTTTCAGCGAGGAAAGTCAAATACCATCATCCTTCTGCATCATCTCCAACTTACACTTTGGGAATCTAATGCCATTATGTCTTCACCCTTATCCTCATCTCTCCCTTTCTTATATGTCACTTCTTCCTTATTTTCTCTCTGGCCATGCAACTTGGACTTTTCCCTTCTGTTTCCTTTTTCACTCTATACCACTGTCCGCCATATTCCCTCTCTTCTCACCACTCTTCCATTTCTGTGCTCCTTCCCTCTCACCCTTCCTTGCTTCTCAAGGTTTGTATCTTTTCCCCTGCTTCTCACCTGACTGTAGTTGGCAATGGGGGTGGTGCTCTGGAGTGATAACTGAGGGGTGGCCTCAGAGGGCAGAGAAGTTTCTGTGCTGACTGGAACAGCCCCTCGAGGGCTCTTACTTGCCTCTTGCTCTGGGGAGTCTTGTGGTATCTGTGGAAAAAAAAAAAGGGAAAAGGAGAGGAAATCAAAAACAGATGGAGAACTGAAACTACAGTTGGGAAGCCAACTCCTCTATAGTTGAAGTTCATAGTATAGAAAAGAGAACAGGGCCCTACTTACTGAAGAGCTATGATAAAGGGTTTTAGACAGGATTAAATTGCTACTGAATGGCAACCGCAGCCAAGACAGCAGGACGTTCAAGTAAGTTCACTCAGTCCTAACCTTTGTCCACCCATTTGTATGCCCTGCTACCCAAATGGGATCACAGCTTATTATCATTATTATTATTATTTTAAGGAAAAAGCAGAGCAGAGGCCCTGCTGCTCCACGCTCTCAGAAAAGGACGACACTTACATCATCATCTGGAGGATGCCGCCTCTTGCGAGATATATCTGGACAGGTATCTATGGTCCAATATGAACCCTGGAAAGAAGATATATTGGTGAGTGACTGTATTACTAAACTGGAGAGTCTCCTGCAACAGGCTGTTACCGACCCTAGGGGCATAGCACCAAGTAAACATCAAGACCCCTAAGATCTCCCTCCACGACATCAGACAACTGAGACTTGGGTGCTGGAAAGAGGTTCCCCTCCTGCACTGCATCAAAGTGAGTAACGAGATACAAAGCTGCTGGTGGGAGGTAAAGGGCTCCATGCCTCTCTCATGCAGAGACTAAGCACAAAGCAGGTTTTAATCCAAGGTAGATCAACTCCTTTGGGCCATCATACCCCCTCCAGTCCCTTTCTCACAGCACATTATTGATTAACAACGGCCAACAAAACGTTTAGACTGGACATAAGAGAGCTACAAGGACCCCTCTCTTGAATGCTTGTGAGACTCTCCGTTGAGTTGTGTGCCCAAGACATTGACACACAACAGCCACCATGAGAGCCAGGAGACTAAAACACATAACGTGCGGGCGGTTCTAAGAATGCCAAGTTTGTTCAGTCAGGACAAGAAAAGGCTGAAGGGACTTAACTGAAAAAGAAAAAAAAAGTCTTTTAAGTGATGGAGGTGCAGTACTAGAACAAGCACCCAGAGACAGTGTGGAATCGCCATCCTTGGAGATATTCAAACTTGACTTGACAAAGACCTCATCAACCTGATCTAAGTGACTTTGTGTTGAATGTGAGTTGGGTCAACCTCGAAAGGTCCCTTTCAGCCTAATTTAGTCTATAATTATGTCGCTTTGTTATTTTCTGACTTATGATAAAGATAACTCTAGGACGTGACTTAGTTCATTTCAGTTTCCAGCTGATATCTGAATAATCACGACAAGCACAGGACAGGGTTTTATTATAAGCCAAGCCCAAGACGTGAATGAGTGCCTGCAAACATGTACACTGAATATTTCCTGGAATAAGCCATATAACCAATGCTGATTTTGGGCAGTGATCTTCAGAGATCTTCAATTCAATTGTACAACTTCAATTTCTAAATGCCAACTGAGCACTCAATCCTTTAAAGTTAACCTAAAAAGAAAACGTCTGGGCCAGTGGCCCTTTCTGATAGCAGAAGATAAGATTTCTGTCCAAACATACATACATACATAGCTTCACATCCCTATAATTTCCTTCTGTTTGCATTTTTACAGTAGCAACATCTGCAGATGAGGTCTAGTCTTGCCAGCAATCCCCCTTAACAGGCTAGATATATAGGGAGTTTTGCTAGCCCTTCCTGAAAGAACCAATTGCTAAATTCTTAAGAGTTTTTCCTTCCAATTCATTTTTACATGTTTGAATTACGTGATGGTGATATTTTTTCAACACTAAATGGTGTGCAATCTCAATGGGTGGTAGTTCTGTTCTCACTTCTCAGGATCTTGTTTCTATGAAACCCATGATATCACAACCATGCCGTTCGCCAGCAGCCTCCAAGCTGTCATAATAAAGCAGGTTCAACAAGGCCTGCATTCTACACATAAAAACCAAGAAAAAGAAAGAAAACTAACCAAGTACATCCAACCCTATTTTTTTCTTCCTCTAGTATCCTCAAAGTCCATCACAAAGTACATATTAAGCAAACTGCTAAAGCCATTCGGGCCCCTTTACAAGTTCCCTTTAAGCAACCGCTTCTGTAGCCAAGCAGAGCAGTAAATCTTACGAGTGCTTCCATTTTTTGCCTACACTTTAGGTTTCAAATTCCAACCATGGGTTAGAAAGGGCAGCCCTGGCTTATTCGGTGCAGTTTTAAATTGCTTGCCCAGGAGCATGCGGATTGCTTACCTTCCCAGGATCATCCCTCGGCCGAGGCACTTTCCGAAAGCATTTATTCAGCGACAGGTTGTGGCGAATGGAGTTCTGAGGGGAGAGGGAAAGAACACGCGAGCATTACAGTGAAAATCTAGGGAATTCTGCATGTGCCTAGGACTGGGAGCAGGGAAGAGTTAAAAAAAAAAAAAAAAAAAGAAAAAAAAGAAAAAAAAGAGAGAGAGAAGGATGGTACACACTCAGTAAACCAAAGCTTACTACATATGTCCCAAAATAGAGCAGAAAAGAAGCTGAAGAAAGAAAAAGGATGGGTTAAGCTGAATATCATGGGTTGAACTACCTAGACTCCTACAGAGGAGGCAAAGAAAAGAGTATCAGTGTGATGCAGCTCTTGGTAGTCACTTTTTTCAGGATCCTTCTTAAGGAGCCACCACATACATAATAAAAATGCTCCGAGAAAATGAGACTTCTGGCTCTGCATTTCCTTCAAGGAGTCAACTTGGGTTCACATCTGTCTCTTTTGCTCAGTGAGTGCATTTTGCATAGAAGAAAATAAAGTCTTTTAAACAGAGAGGACCCTTTAGCTATGAAGGCCTCACCTTCCAACCAATCCCGGCATTTTTATAGTACGGAAAGTTGTCACAGATCCAGCGGTAGATCTCGCTGAGTGTCATCTTCTTGGCAGGTGATGAGTTGATGGCATATGTGATCAGGGTGGCGTAGCTGTAACGCGGTTTCCCATCTTGGTGCACTGCAGCCTCGTCTTTACTCAAGGTGGCGTTGGGATCTGTCGGGGAGCCTGGGGGGCACTTTCGGGCAGCCCCAGGGGGTCCTGCCTGGGAGGACCCCCCTAGTTTTTCAATGGTAGCCCTTAGAGTAAGCTGGGGGAGCCAGTCTATGGAAGTGAGGCTGCTCTCAAGGTCGGAGGCCATGACGACGGAAGCTGGGATATCTGGAAAGAGAGAGGAACAAATGTTTATGCTCCAAAGGCATAAACACGTCGAGATCTGAAAGCAGGAAGATCTGTGTTACTCCTCTGCCTCTCCTCCTAACAGCAAACGCCTGTTCAGAGCTCACGCTACTCTATTTACCTTATCCACAGCCAGACGCAGTCATCCACAAGGCCTGTGACCATGTCCCTGAGGACCATCCTTGCGCGTAACGGCTAGGACAGAGGTGACGGTCACTTTGCTGGCCCAGTCTTACCCAGACCATCCCAACTCTATTCAGCTAAAGAATTACGATACAAAAGAGATCTGTTCAAAGGAGGAGGAGCCTTTTCAGCAGCTGTACTTCATTGACTCCTTTACTACTTAGGCCACATAACCTCAAGTGCTTTCACCAACATCTTGTAAATTTACCTTGTCTGTTAAAGAGGAGAGTCACAACTAAAAGGCAACATTCCTCGTGCCATATCCAAACCACAACTTAATTAGACCATCTATAATATTTAGGGCTGGAACTGGGCCCCTTTTGGGCCAATTTCTGAGGCCTGGTCTCTCTTGCTGTGTCATGTGACATTCTAATTAATCCATTTCTTAGAGCTAGTATTACATATCTCATTTGGAAACATCAAGATCAAGTACAACACTCTATATATAGAAAATTATACCTACCATGTTGAGGTGGACTAGACTACATTCTGCTCACAATGGTTACAGTTTTACCTCCCATCACACATCCTTCCTAAATAAACACATCATCTTACTGAATTAAATCTCGCTTAAATCACAATAAAATAGATAAATATTTCTCCTAAATCCAAGACAAGAAAAACTGATTTGTCCAAAGTCACATAGCGAGTTTTCTACAAGGAGGAAAGAATCAGTATCTTGGACTTCCCTCCCCCTGCCCCCCCCCTTTTTTTTTTAGTTACAAGATAAGATGATATTTCCTCTCAATAAATAAATAAATAAATAAATAAAGCTCACCTGCCCAGCATGACTAACATTAACGCCTAGGGCTTTCTACACACACAAAAAATACTTTATATGACAAAAACATTTAGTGGTATGAGCTTGTATAGTCACGTATATAACACACGAACCCGTGGGCTGCCTTTTCAAGGAATGAGGCCATCAAAGATCACCACTGCTCCTCCTAGCAGCTGCCACAGCCTACCAGCCACAGCGATCCCTCCAAGCTGGGATTTCGGGGACGAGGCTCCCGCAGCCACAACGTGCACTGCCCTACACTCCATTCCTCGCTTTACGGGACAACCCCCCGCCTCCCGGGAGGCGCAGAGGCAGCCTCGGCAGCAGAGCCCGGCACCGAGGCACTGCCGGCAGCGGCTCCGGCAGCCAGGGCTCAGAGGGCACCTTGGGAAGCACCTCGGGATGCACCTCTCGCTTGCATCCGGGTGCACGCACGGATGCACCGGGAGCTGCAGCCGGTGGCACCTTCTTCTGCGCGTGGAACAAGGGAAAGGAAAGGCCCGACTGCTACCAGCTCATCTGCCACCTCATCTGCCGCGCTGTCACCTACGACAGCCACGACGGCTTGCTCTGCATCCAGCTGTGGCGAGGGCTGCAAAACGCTTCCCAACGCCTGCCCTTTCCGGGCTATCGCTTACCGAATACACCTCTTCGGGGCTAAATTCATCCAATCTTCTTAAAGAGAGGCGGCAGCCCTGTTCCTTCCTGAATTACCCAACAGTAAAGCAATGAGGTATTTCTGTGCAACTGGGAAAGACAACAACTGCTGGGGTGTCTGTGGAACTCCAACCACGGCTGCTTTCTCGTGACAGTGTTACAGGAGCAGCCCTCGCCGAGGAACCGGGCTCAGGCCACCTGGGAGAAAGGATGGGACACCAGCAAACACCAGCTGGATGCTTAGTTCTGTGCATGCCTCACATAAACTTTAAATGGCCACAGTGAAATCAGTGAACAAATTGCAGCTGCTTATCATATGCATATTAAACCCTCACAAAACGTCAGCTGGGCTAGCAATACAAAGGAAAGGCAGAACGAAATAAATGCAAGTTGCCCAGCTGCCATCAAGAAAATTAAATTAAGAAAGTTAAAAGTTAAAAAAGAAAAAGGTGTCAGATAACGTTTCAGAACCAAAATGCCAGAAGCCCAATCAAGCTATACTGCAGGTTTGAGCGAGTGCTCCAATTTCCTCACATTTGTGTCATCAGACCATTTGGGATGATGGGCTCTACAGTAAAACGTAAAGAGTGAGGTTGATGCCCACTATACGAGGCCAAGATCTTCACTTTCCTCAGACGTGGGCAAGGTTAGGGAGACGGGCCACATTATGGCCACTAAAAATCCAAATGCTTTCACTCCCTGGTTTATAAATTTCTTTGACAAGAAAAAACAAAACCCAGATCTTAAGTAATAATAATAACAAAAACTATTTATATATATGCACTATCACCTAGCATTGAAATAACTACTTTTCAATAAACGCAGCACCTCTTTAAGAATAGACATCACAGAGTCCCAGAATGGTTGAGGTTGGAAGGCACCTCTAGAGATCATCCAGTCCAACCCCCTGCTCCAGCAGGGACACCCAGAGCACGGGGCACAGGGCGGCATCCAGGTGGGTTTGGGAGATCTCCAGAGAAGGAGACTCCACAGCCTCCCTGGGCAGCCTGTTCCAATGCTGCTATCTTCACAGCCAAAAAGTTTTCCCTCAAATTCAGGCAGAACTTCCCTGTGTTTCAGTTTGTGTCCGTTGCTTCTTGTCCTAACGCTGCCCATCACTAAAAGGAATCCAGCTCCATCCTCTTGTCACTCTTTCCGAAGGTATTGGTACACATGGATAAGATCCCGTCTTAGTCTCCTCTTCTTTAGGCTCTCAGGCCCTTCTCATATAAGATGCTCCAGTCCCTTAATCATCTTTGTCGCTCTCTGCTGGACCCCCTCTAGAAGCTCCACATCCCTCTTGTCCTGGGGAGCCCAGAACTGCCCCCAACACTCCAGGTACGGCCTCACCAGAGCTGAGCAGAGGGGCAGGATCCCCTCCATTCACTTGCTGGCAACATCCTCCTGATGCAGCCAGGATCCCATTGGCCTCCTTGGCCACGAGGGCACTGCTGCCTCATGGCTAACTTGGTGTCAACCAGGACTCCCAGGTCCCTCTCTCCGTGGAGCTGCTCTCCAGCAGGTCAACCCCTAATCAGTCCTGTGCGTGGGGTTATTCCTGCCCACGTGCAGGACCCTGCACTTGTCCTTATTGAACCTCATGAGGTTCCTCTCTGCCCAACTCTCCAGCCTGTCCAGGTCCCTCTGAATGGCAGCACAGCCCCTTGGGACATCAGTCACTCCTCTCAGCTTTGCAGCATCAGCAAACGTGATGAGGGTGCCCTCCACCCCCTCACCCATGTCACTGGTGAATAAGCTGAACAAGACTGGACCCAGTACTAACCCCTGAGGGATGCTCTAGCCACAGGCCATCCACTAGGCTTGGTAGCACTGATCGCAACACACTGAGTTCTGCTGCTCAGCCAGCTTTCAATCCACCCTACTATCTTCTCACCTAGCCTGTACTTTGCCTATGAGGATGTTCTTGAGGACAGTCAAGGCCTTTGAAGTCAAGTTGACAATGTTCCCTGCTCTCCTCTCATCTACCCAGGCAACTTTCCATCACAGAAGGCTACAAGGTTGGTTAAGCACATTTTCCCCATGTTGAATCTATGCTGATAGCTTCTGATTATGTTCTTGTCCTATGTGCTTAAAGATGATATCCATGATGAGCTCTTCCATTACATTTCCTGACAAGACTGAGAAGAAAATTACTTGGGTCACAGACCCTTGACCCCCAGAGCTCTGAAACCCTGTTTGATGGTTTCCAATTGGCCTTGGTACCATTCCTGCCCTCGTGGAACAGCAGCAGGAGGTAAGAGGCCTACCCAAAGGCCAAGCAGGCAGACAGGCAGCCCCATCCCCTGCACAGGGAGTCACCCACAAGGATCCCTCGCCACTTCTGCTGGGTGTTCCTGCATGGCACCGTGTCTGCTGGCCCTGCTGCTTCCCTTGGAGCCATGCCCAGCTGCTCCTCAGCCTGGAGAGCACCACAACTGCTCCTCAACTGCAAGTCTTCAGGAGGGTAAGACCTTTTCTCCACCTATGAGAGAGGGGACCATTTTCCAGCCTTCTCCTACAGTGTCAAGATGGACTGTTTGACACAGGATAGAGCCCCTCACTGCCCTGCTGTGGGCAGCTGGGACTCCTGGAGCTGCACAGTGTCCGAGAAAACCTTATCTACCTCCTGCTCATCTTCATGGATGCTCTGCAGCCCATTGGCTTCTTCCTGCAACTCCTTTACGAGGTCCTCAAAACTTCTAAGAGCAGTCAGGCACTGCTGCACAAAGCGCTGCATCTGTGCTCTGCCTCACCTAGCAGTTCACTTTCTACAAGTCAAAAAAGAAATTTAAAACAGAAAGATAATACTCCGAGATCCAACGGTAATCCCACAGAAAACTTCAAATTGGTAGAATATGATTACTGTCCAAATTTTCACTTGATTATGATACCGACAGAGACAATATGGGATCTACAATAATCTGGCATAGTTGAACCCTCAGGTAAGTCAGTAATTCCAGCAACCCAGTCAGTCCAAAATTAATATTTTAATTAATTTGCTACTAACTTATTTGACTTAACATCTGATATTAAAAAATTACAGTTACAGCACTTTGTGTTGCCCATCACATTCAGCCGATTTGTCTCTCATTCAAGTACCACATCAGATTGATACTAATTAATGATAGAACAACACAGCAGTTCGTAATTCTCCCAGTTTCCACCTCCCAGGTCACCGTCTGACAAACGTTCTTTCAAACTCCTCTCTTACGACCCTACTCAAACTCACACACAAAAAAAAACAAGTAACTAACAGACATGTTAGCTATTGAACTGAACTCAAACTGAGGATGTTTAAAAAATAAAATCATATCACATTAGTAAGTTAGAATTGATTGCTAAGAAGTAAAAAAAACTCAAC